CTCTAACTTTTCCTGTAATATTTCTGTTCTATTCTTCTTCTTAACCATTTTCTTTTTACAAAATTTCTGTGTAAACTCACGTATTTTTATTTTTAACAATTCCCACATTTCGGAGGGAGAATTGTTTTTTTCTTGAACCATATTTACAATATTACGCACACTATTTAAATATTTCTCATCACTCAAAATACTGGTGTTCATTTTCCAATAACCTGGACCAGTCCTATTTTCTTTTATTCTAATTCTGAGGGATATTGCATTATGATCGGCACGTATTGCCGGTCTAATATCTGCTTTAATTACCTTAACCTGAACGTTCTTGTTTACAAGCCAATAGTCTAGTCTTGATGCTAATTTTAGAGAAGAATTTCGCCATGTAAATTGTCTACTGAGTGGGTTTGTTCTTCTCCAAATATCACACAGGGAATATTGTTTTAACAATTTACAAAAGTTTCGTGGCTTTTTATAAAATTTACTTCTCGTACCTTGAACATCATAATGCACATTTACTACACAGTTCCAATCACCACCAAATATTAGATTAGAATCAATTTCTTTTACATCGCTTGTAAGAAGAGTGTGTTGTAAGTTCTTAAAAAATCCTTCCCTAAATTTTTTATGTGTGGGTGCATACACATTGACAAGAGTATAGATCACTGTATCAACATTGACTTTTAGAAGCAAGATTCTACCATCCTTTTGCTTAACATGAACAGTATCTACATTAAATGTCTGATAAAAAAGGATGGCAACTCCCGACGAATGATTAGACCCATGAGAGAAGTAACATGATCCGCGCCTTTCATTCTTAACAGTGTTTTCTATATCTGATGTCCAATAAGTTTCTTGGATGAAAATTACATTAGCTTTTTGACATTTAAACCATTGAAATACTTGACTTCTTTTGTCTTTGTTTCTAAGCCCGCGGGCATTTAAACTAATAACGTGACAGACTGATAGTTATGGAATAGGGTGATAGTGGGTTACAAAACAAAAACAACTCAAGACATGACATTCATTTCTTCTTAGATTTTGTTTTCGTACTTCGCTGTTTCTTTTTCTGACTGTTAGTGCTTCCTGATCTTAGACGATGCCTGACAATTTCAGGTGACTCTGCTGATATATCAGAGTACTGCAATTCATTGATGTTGCGTCGAACTCGCACCGCTGTGTCACTGTGAGAAGCTCCATGTGTGATTTCTGGTGATGGAAACGTCTCGTTGCTAGGTTTATTAAAGGGTACTTGATGAATCCTGTTCGCTTAATCTTCGCTTGCGAATCATTGCTGCATGGAAGCCGATCTCGAGTACGAGTATGCTTCGAAGGTTCGCTCTCGTCGTCTCCGTCGTTGGTAGAATCATCGCTCGATGTATGCGAGTCGGAGGGGCCAAGGACAGCGCTTTCTGTTGCAGCTTGGCGTTGTTGCTGTAGAAATTGCGTAATCGTACTGCACCAGCAGAAGACTCGCGTGGTTTGGTGGGGGTCGTTGCTACGGAGATGGCTTCTGAGATGACTTCGGCTCGATCATTGTGGCATTCGGCAGAGGCGTCGCGTGGAGGACTAGGCGTGCTGGGGTGAGAGTTGGGGTCACTCATCGTTGCCGTGTAGTCTCTCTGATAGTGCCGAGGTCTGCCGCAAGAGCGACACATCACTTCACTCTTACAGGTGGAACGATGATGCCCTTTGATTAGGCAATTGGAACATACCGTGCTCAGGTCGTTGGGCAGTTTATCGGCGTGAAACACTCTACCTTTGAATGAGCCGAAGGAGACAAACCTTGGTAGGGGTTGGGCTGGTTTTTCGATCAACAACACCCTGTCCCCTGTAAGGCACTCTGTGAGTCTACCGTCGACCCTTAGACGCTGAAGTATTATCTTTCCAGACACCTTAAGCTTCCTAGATTCAAATTCATTCAGGATGTTCACATCATGAACTGACAAGGATATGTCCTTAATCAAAACTCTGGTTAAGTTTTCATTGTTAGCTGGGAGGAATGGGTTTAAGTCAAACACATTGACGCAGGAGTTGCGAATATTGAGGCTTTAGCCTACTTGTACGGTTTGAAATATATAGACTCCATTGGCCTCCGATTTTCTGAATACCTTGAACTTTCGTAGCGGAGATTTAATTCACTACAGCTTTATACATTTCCAGACTTGTTACAAAGTTATCTTTCGAAAGAGGTTCTTCTCTATCTTTAATGAAGACAGGCTTACCTCCGGCTGCGGTGCGTTCATTAGCGTCACGATGTTCGAACGCATGCGTCGGGTTTTAAAGCGGGCCCCGGAGGCGGCCTCACACCTGCAATTTGAAGCCACCTCGAGATCATCAAACCCCTGTTACACATGATCTCGGGCCCGCAATTTTGCGTCTACACATAGGCTGGCCTCACGTCGCCTTTTTACGAGATGACGTTGGGGCGCACTCCAGAAAGACAGAAAGAGAAAGTGATAGAAGGATAAAAACAAAGAATAACATAAGGAAAGACAGAAAGAGAAAGTGATAGAATGATGAAAACAAAGAAAAACATAAGAGAAGGTGATAGAAGGAAGAAACAAAGAATAATATAAGGAAAGACAGAAAGAGAAAGTGATAGAACGATCAAAACAAAGAAAAACATAAGAGAAGGTGATAGAAGGAAGAAACAAAGAATAATATAAGGAAAGACAGAAAGAGAAAGTGATAGAACGATCAAAACAAAGAATAACATAAGAGAAGGTGATAGAAGGAAGGAACAAAGAATAACATAAGGAAATACAGAAAAGGAAAGTAATGGAATAATAAAAACAAAGAATAAAATAAGGAAAGACGGAAAGAGAAAGTGATAGAATGATAAAAACAAAGAATAACATAAGGAAAGACAGGAAGAGAAAGTGAAAGAATGATAAAAACAAAGAATAACATAAAAGAAGGTGGCAAAGCGCGCCTGATGTATTATGTTGATATAATATGTTGACAGGTCACGTCACTTCCGCTTATAAGCCGGCCCGAGTCCACTTTGGTGTTACACCTACTGATTGCGGGACTGAGGCCGGCCTCAAACCACATCCACCTGGCCTCAGTCCGGCTTTTCAAAAAAGTTCGTGTTACACATACGTCGAGCCGCCTCCGGGGCCGGCCTCAGTCCACTTTCAGACGTAATATTTTTTCACGAAGTGACAGTAGTGAAAAAAAATTGCATTCACTTTGCGTTACGATTTTCCTCACTACCGTCACTTCGTGAAAACAAGGACGGTATGTGTAACAGGGGTCTAAGAACGAGATGAAAACGAGTTGAACTGTCCCTGCACGGGATGGTCGGGTTAAAAACTACCTAAAACAAGTTGCGAGCTAGTTAGAATGATTTGGACGTATTTGGAACGAGGTAGAACTAGTTAAACACCTGTTTGAACCGATTATGAACGGCCTTGGACCGCTTGGTAATGGCAAATTCACCCGATCTTAACTTGATATTAACTGATTGTGGATGGGGTACAGACGAGATGGACGTATTGAGGACTGTTTATCAACGATCTAACATCGTGTTATAGACCTTATTTACACACTCTACCCCGACCATAACCCATTTCTACGATTTTCTAGGACTGTTCCAGGACGTGTTGAGAACTAGTTTGGTATGATGGGGGCTTAGCTGCTGCTATTAGGGACCTTTAGATTTGCACGACGAGAACGTGGACTGCTACATGCGACGTCCTTTTAAGGCACTGGCGGTGCCCAGCAGTGTCTTAAAAGGACGTCACGTTGCCTTAAAGGCACACTGTCTTACTTGTAGCTACTTGCTCTCTCTATATAGAAAAATTCCCCAATCGGTGCCTGTTGGTCCCCCATGATCCTCTTTTTCTTATGTTAAATGAGAGCTGAGTTAATGAGATAGCCACCTGTCACAGTGACCTCGCTGGCTCGCTGTGTGGTCTAATTCCTTCTGGCTGAAGTAGTAAAGCGTACTTTTAAACGGATGTCACATGTAGCAGTCTACGTTCTAGTAGTACAAATTTTATAAGTACCTAATAATGCTCGACCACAGCACTTTGTAACTAGTTCCTAGTAGGATCGAAGTACGGCAATCCGTCCGTTTGTAGTACGTCCTCCTCGTTTTAAGCACGTTGTCTTTCCGTCTAATTGCAGGACGGGGACAATTTTGAACAGGTTCAAAGTTCTAGAGCACTCTTAGTCCGAGCCCGTCAATGGAGTTCTTAAACAGATCGTAAACGGTTTCGACTACGCTCAACTCCGTTCGCACACAGTTTGAGGCCGTTTGGCAACATTTTCCAGAATGTAGTGGAAATTTGTTTGGTGTGATGGGGGCTTAAAGCGATCCCGCTTGGTACGAGGGACACAAAGGCGATCACCAGATCTATTGAAACTAAAATGACTGAACAAAGGATGGGTTGGATCTTTCATAATTCGCATGACCTTAGCTAGTGAACCTTCACCATACAACACTTTTCCATGTTGGGCAGTGTGATACCAATGATTCTCTGGGTCCTTGAAAAGAACCAGTTCTTTAGGAAAGAAAAAGAGATGTTCAGGTAGTTCAATTAAATACTTGTCACTTCAGAAACCAATGAGAGGAAATGGAGTTCAAAGTACTCACTGAAGAAGAACTTCAATTATGTTCTGAAAAGGTTCGTCCTTGATTGGTGAAGGTTTGATTTTACCGCAAGCATCTCATATTTATTATCTCCGTACCATAAAAATACCAAAAGAGAAAACAAATTTAGCCACATTTGATCACCAGTTAATTAATGGTAAACCCCATTATTCCTACTTTCTATATTCCTTTGGTGATTTTTTTTTTGGTGGTAGTTATTTTCTGTTCTTCCATCACAATCAAATTTTATTTGCTGGTTGTTGTGGGTACACAATGATTAAAACTATCTGGTTCAAGATTCTGTTTTTAATTGACCATCTGTCAAATCCGTTTCTTCAATTTTGTCAAATTGTAATTTTATTCATAATCGTAATAAGATAAAGCTACCTATGTGTTTTTACGTTGAGGCTGTTGAGATGCCGCTGTCTATAAATATGACGCTACTCTGTCGCAGAAGCATCCAGTGCACCAGGACCAACAAGACGTTCGCCAAACTTCATCGGAGATTTGATTCCTACAGAGCCCCATCATGTATTTCAGCATACTTGTCGTTGCGATGCTCATATCGTTTGCATCAGGTAAGAACTAACAGGAATAGAGTATAGACTAAAGATAAAAGCAGCCAAATGGAGGTTGATCGCTCGCGTGATATTTTGGGAAGAGAGATCAGCTGCCTTGTGTACCCTACAACGGTAAACATATCAATATGACCGCCGCATCCCAGCGGGACCGAGAACGTAGGGTGGATTCGTTCTCTTGATGCAATACCTACCTGGTATCCAGGCTGCCACCGTCAGTTGCTGGCGACTGCCGACCACAACTGCACATCTTCTTGTTGTCTTTCTCCATTTGTTTCTATCCTGTGCTAATTTTTTGGCTTCTGAATATGTGAGACCTGTCCATTCTGTGATGTTATCAAACCACTGCTTTCTCTGTCTGCCTGTTTTTTTCCCTTCTACTTGGCTTTCTATTATTTGTGCTGCTAAGGGACTCCCCCTGCCACACAGAATGTGTCCAAAGTAACCCATCTTGAGGCGGGCCAATTTGTCCAAGGAGATCTCTTTCTGCGTTTAGTTCTTGTAGAACACTGAGGCTAGTTTTTTTTTTTCTTCCAGCTGATTTTTAGCATTTTCCTCCAGAACCACATTTCTGCTGCCATGATGCGATTTTCATCGGCTTTGAGCAGTGTCCAGCTTTCAGCACCATAAAGCAAAGCACTCCAAACCAGGGTTTTGACCAGTTTTATTTTCATACCGGTTGAGATGTTCCTGTCATTCCAAAGTACATGCAGGTCAACCATTCTCTTCTTCGCTATAGCTATTCTGATCTTTATTTCACTGGTACAGCTAGCATCGCTGTTGTTTGTAGATCCAAGATATTTGAAGCTTTCCACATCTTTGACTGTTTCCCCGTCGATCTGGATGCTACGATCGGTATCTGAGGTTTTACCAGCAACTAGGAGTTTGGTCTTTTTACCATTTAAATGCAAGTTGAGTTTCTGTGTCGTCAGCATATCTGAGATTTGAGATGTTTTTGCCACCAAATTTAATGCCACAGTGCGCTATATCTGCTTCCCTCATCCCACTTTCTGTGTATGTGACGAAGAGGTATGGTGATAAGATACAGCCCTGTCTTGCACCTTTTCCTATCTTAAACTCTTCAGTGTCTTCAACATCCCAACGGATTCTAGCTCTTTGGTTTACAAAGAGAGATTGGATTAAAGTGACAAGGTGTTTTGGGAAGCCCGTATCTAAGAAGATGGAGAAAAGTTTGTTGTGGCTTACATAATCAAACGCCTTTGAATAGTCTATAAATATAATACAAGCTTGTTGATCCATGGCAATCACCTTCTCAAATAAAACTTGCAAACATACAAGCATGTCTCTGGTCCCTCTGCCTTTTTTTGTAGGCAGCCTGGTCTTCTGGTTGCTCTTGTTCTAACTTTTGTTTTATAAATTCTGTTAACAATTATCACAAGTAAGATTTTGCTGGTGTGACTGATAAGGGCAATAGTCCTGTAGTTTGAGCACAGTTTTTGATCCCCAGATTTAAACAGAACAACAAATTCATGTATCTTCCATTCATCTGGCCGATGGCAAGAAGTCCAAATGCTTGCACACAATTTGTGGAGAAATTTGATACCATATTGTCCTGTATAGCTTTCCCCAGTTCGGCTGGTATTCCATCAATTCCTGGTGACTTTCCTGCTCTGAGCTTTTCCACCGCATGTTCAACTTCTGAAAGAAGTGGCACTGGTTCTTGTTCCATTATAGGGACCTTCTCTTCTTTATGTAGACTCTCATCAATTGGTCTTTTGAAAAGCTTAGTTCCATATTCTTTTCAGCGATCCATTATCTTTTTCCTCTGATCTAAAATGATGCCGTTCTTGTCTTTTATACATGATTGTTGTGTCTCTCTGGGGTTGGTCTTGACCGATTAGATAGCTGAGTACATTTCTTTGGCCTTACCAGCTATGTTGACACCGTTCACTTCCCTACATCTTTCTTCCAACCAATATGCTTTATCCTTCCTTATCTTTCTTTGGATTTCTGATCTTAGATTCTTGTACCTTTCTTCCTTGACTTTTGTAACTTTATCCTGTCTTAATTTGCTCTTTTCTTCAGCTAGTAAGAAAACTTCATTACTAATCCAGGGCTTCTTAGCACGTCTTGTTGCTCTACCAAGGGTTGCATCAGCAGATTCTTTAAGTACTGTTTCATAGACTGTCCATATCGTCTCTGATAAAGATTCTTTATTAGGTTCTATTTTAGAGAGATTCTTCTTGAATTTGGTTTATGATGAGTTCAAGAAAGACTGTAGAGTTTTGGGGTCTTCAAGTGATTTTACATTCATTCTTCTTGATTTTGATATCTTGCTGACTTTAGACAGTTTGATTTGCATCCTTGCGACTAACAGTATATGGTCCGTATCACAGTCTGCTCCTGGGAAAGCTTTGGCATCTTTGATACTTGACTTCCACCTGCGCCTGATCTTGATGCAATAGGTTCAATCAAAACTTACAAGCGTATAGCACCCCAACTTGAGAACCGTTAGGTTTAGGAATGAGCAATATTTAAAAAAAATACTAAAACATTCTGAAAGTCACATGCACTGCTCCTATAATTAGGTTTAGGAATGAGCAATATTTAAAAAGATACTAAAACATTCTGAAAGTCACATGCACTGCTCCTTTAAATCGGTATATAAGACCAAATGTGCATGTAGTAGTATAGTCTGGTTCTACCGTATGAGCTATTTCTCTTGCATCTTAATATATAACTATTATTGCAATGACGAATATCGTCATTGCCTTGTTTTCGTTCACATTCTGCACCATTAATATTCTTCTTCTTTGCAGAAAATCGCATTCGTTTTGCACATAGTGTTTGTTATTCCTAGTTAGGTGCTTTTCTCATGTCCATTTCCGTTCAAATTTCATAGGCATAGTCTCTAGCATTTCATCAAGGTCACCTATTTTTTCGATTTTAGAAAATCACTCATGCATAACCAACCAGGCGCCATTTTGTCCGTTTCTGGTCCATTTTTAGGCCTTTCTCTCTTCCTTCCTATCTTCACTATCCTAGATCCTACAAACTTCTAATAAATTTTTATAGATAGTGTAAGAGATGTTCTTTCATCTGCGACGTATAACCTGCCCTTCAAAATGCCATCTTCGTACTCAAAATTCAAATCCGAAACCGACTCCATCAAAAATCTCTCAAATTCTTGAAAAATTGACCCGGATAAATCTAAAACTGCCATAACTTTATCATATAAATTCCGTTTTGTATTTAAATCTTACAGTATCTTTATCTCATATTTGCACATAGCCATGCCAAATTCCACGCTCCAATGGCTATGCACAAAATAAATAGCGTCCTCTAAAGTTCTGGGAATTGGCTTTCTTTCTGTGGCCGTATCTCAATTATGGCTTGGCAGACCCGTACCTTTTTTTGGATTTAGATACCCGGAGATATCCCCTTTCAAGCCATATACGAAATTATATACCCTATCTTTGACCAAATCTGAGAAAATTGCTCTCTGAAATCGCCATTTTCAAGAAAATTGCGAAATAACTTCAACTTGCTCTAAAATTGCGATCATTATACCTACAACAATAAAACTTAGCAGACACATGTATCAATATACGTGACAACTATCTGCCAAGTTTGGTAAATTTCAATTACGTCAGCGCAAAGTTATCGCTAACAATGATGAATTTACTATGCATTACGTGATAGCGTGTTAAATGCGTGCAGTACATTGCGCACAGATAACAATGGTGTCAAACTAACCGCAATGAAGTGCCCTTTCGGATGATACCAAGTATGATATATGTTCACACACAAAATTGTGAGTTAATCGTATTTTAGACACCATATTATACTGTTTATAATTATGTTAGTATAGACGACCGTTAGTGCAAGATCGCCCGTCATTGCACGCATATCGTTGTGCAACGATTGCAGGTCTAGTTATCATTATAATCATTTCTTTAAACAAATTATTATTGTCATCATTATCACTTTTATTATTGTAATTATTATCTGTATAACCTTATCGTCATCATTATCATTATTCGTATCATCAATAATGTTATTGATTATTATTAATATTGTTATTATCATTCACATTATCTGTATTTTTAAAAATTGTTATTGTCATCTTTATTACTTTTATTATAACCTCATTATCATCCTTATCATTAATCGTATCATTAAGAATGCTATTGATTATTATTTATATTGTAATTTTTATCATAATTATTATCATTAAAATTATCTTTCTTATTATTAATCATCATTATTGTTGTTGTACACATAATCATTACTATCATAGTTATTTGAATTACTATCATCATTTTAATTATCAATATGTTTATGCGGCAGGCAATCCAGCGGATAAGCAGGTTGATGAAGGTGCCGTTTGGAATTTCGGCTATATGTCATCCTGTGCTACTAATTCATACAGTACTAGATACAACGGATATGGCTGCTTCTGCGGATTAGGAGGTCACGGCACCCCAGTAGACAATTTGGATGTGTAAGAGCCTCTCCCTTTTCAGTAAAATTGTTTAATTGTCATTCTTATAGATTTGATTTGATTTGACTAATTGGTTTCTGCATCTATTTTTCTTTTTTTTCATCATACATTTTCATGAACATAATATGGTTTGATACAATATTTCAAGTGTATATAATTTTATACAGATATGTTTGTATTCATTGTACCATTACTTGCAACATAATAGCAAATAAATAAACACAAGGACTATTATAATATCTCATTGTATTGCGTATGAAAACAATGTTTTGATTGTGCGCTAATTTCAGAGGGTGACGGACGAAGTTATATCTTGTTCGAAAAGTATTTCTGTTTTCATTGTTTAGTACCTGTAATAGTGTAGTAATTTGTATTTTAATGTACCTCTTCATTGTCTCATTATAGCAACTGCATTTGTTACAGCCCAAGAGATCGACATTTTCGGTCTCGAAGACCTTCTGGCTTCTGATAAATTATTGAATGTTCACTAAACCACACCCATGTTATGTAAATTCTACTCCCTTCTTCATATATTTACTCGTTGTATCGGTCTTGAGGTCCAACAGTTACGTTGCTGTTGGCCTCGTGAGCCAATTAATTATATCATTACAATTTTTTATTTTCAGTTTTCTTTATGGATAACTGGTTTTCTTATAAAACTGAAGATATGGCGTACATATTCAATACTGAATGAACGCCATTACACTATTACTAACAACAACAACAACTCGTGGGCCGTCGGACTCATATACCTTTTCGGTCTACTAAGATGACCCCAACCCATCACACGCCTCGTTTTTTAAGGGGAATGTATCCCCCTCCTCACTACATCAATATTACGGTTATTTTATAAAATAAGGACAATTGATGTGTTTTGTAACTGAACCTTCTGATCACGTCGTTCACCGTACGATATATTTTTGATATGCCATCTTGAACATGTATAGATGAATGAATCTATCGTATCAAATAAAAGCAAAGTCTTCTCTTTTTGTATTCATTCATTAATTACAATGCCCCAACATGTCCTTGATACACTATTAGCTAAAAAAATGTATTTTGTATAGTATACACTCTAGGAATAAATTATTCTAGAAGGTTCTTGACTTTGCACAGTGGGTTAACAATATACCATGCTCCTTCGAGCAATACTTTTAAGTTCTACAAGTATTCTGAAACGACGCAAATGAGCTGTTTGTAGCTCAACGGTTTTCTTTTTAATAGTTTCTTTCAGTTATATTCATCCATTTAGGCATTTTTTGTTTTTGATTCTCTTTGTCTCACAAGATGCTGTCAGGTGCATGACAACTGCTACGGTGATGTGGAAGCGGCTAACGGAGGACCCTGCCCCCAGGGCACCAACATATATACCCTAGGATACACTTACGAGTGTAGAGCACCCTGGAGTTGGTTCTTTAAAGCCGAAGAGCTTACCATCACCTGCGGTAAGTCTTGCGAACTCAGTTTCATTTATTTTGCTTTTTTTTGTCGTTGCTTATTTAGGATCCCAATACCAGTAATATGTCAAATGTATTAACATTTTCACGAATGATGTTAATTCAATTAAAATCATATCAAATCAAATCAGATTATATATTAACATCATTCCATTATCTGTCCATTCATAGAAAAACAACAAATTGAACAAAAGACGAATAAATCGATTAATTTATTCATTGATTAAAAAAGGTAATTTGTTTATTGAAGTGGCAAAAGTTTAATGTTTATCAGGGCAAACTAAAACTTTCATCCATTCCATAAATTCTCATAATTTTTATTTTTACTTATGTCAAACTTATATCAAACTTTGAGGCGGACCTACCCTTCATTATTAATATCAATTTGTGTACGTTGTAATATGGTTAAGGTGTGGGGGTTGTGCGTGCGCGTGCGTGCGTATGTGTGTGTGTGTGAGTGTGTGTGTGCGCGCGCGTGTGTGTTTTTATGTGTGTATGTGCGTACGTGCATTGAAATATTTGATATATAGATGCAGGGGAAAGTCCGTAATATTGGGGGAGTTTCAAAAAGAACTGTTAGAATTTAGGGAAGAAGAAAAGAATATTGCAGGGAGGGCAGGTACATTGACCTTAAATTTACAGAAGTGGGAAGAAGTAAAGTTTTCATGATTTTTTTACACTGGACTATTGTGGCTATTGTAGCCTCGTTTAAATGATTTTGTTTTAAATGTTTTAAATAGATTGTTTCTGTTTGTCTGTCGCTGTAATTTGAGGTATTCTGACGGGGCAAGGAACAGTGTGTGGTGGAAGTGTGGTCGGGTAGTGTGTGGGTGGCATGATGGGGAGGGTGGAGGGGGGGGGGTAGTAGTTGTTTGGTTGGATGGGGTTATTTGTTTTATGTTACAACTGAATTCATTTTTGTTTTCATTAATTGTACAATCTATGTATTGTAAATGTTTTGAATTCATGTCAAGGAAAAACAACTGTACTTTATTTCTAAAAATTACTTTTTATTGTTTGGAATCATTAAAAAAAAAACTATTGAAAAAAAAAGTGTATAAATTATAAGTGTATATGCGTAATGGGGATAGATAGATGGACAGGGCGGGGTGGTTCCAATTATGATGGGGATGGGGTGGTCAGGGTTCCTTAGGGGTGGGGTTGGATAGGTGTCCTTTGAGTTGAGGCCATTTTGGTGGTCGAAGGAAAGAAGATATTGGAACTTTAAGTACTCATCGTATGATGGATTATATTACACTGTTGGTCATAATGGTGGAATAATTATTTTTACCCCAGTTTAGGGAAGGATTTTAAAAAATTATTTATTTTTAATAGATCTAGATAATGGCATACATTCTCAGATTTTATTGAATATTAATTTGCGAGTGTTTGTTTTGCGTGACTGCTAAATCATATGTGTGCTACTATGCTAGTCAGCTAGGGAACCTACGTCCTTAAATCATAATTGACAGTAATGAGGATTAATGCCTCACAAAAGGGCACTAATATAGCTGATCGGCACAATTTTGCACATAAACAGAACATGCAATAAATTTTCAATAATTTATTGCATTTTACCCCGGTCCCCAACATAAAAAAAATCCTCTGGGAGGACCTTGCATTATGGCTCAAGGCATGGGCACACAGAAGATTTTGTTATGTTGGGAACCGGGGTAAATGCAATAAATTATTGAAAATTTATTGCATGTTCTGTTTATGAAAACAGCCCCCTACCCTAGCTCCTGCTGCGTACAGTCTTGGTTCAGTGAAAAAGCAATGGCCTCGTAACTGTGAGGCCCCAGGATCAAAACCGTGTCGATGTGCTATATTAGTGCCCTTTTGTGGGGCATTAATCCTCATTACTGTCATTTATGACTTAAGGGCGTATGTCCCCTAGTTGATAAGCATAGTAGCATACACATGCTTTAGCAGTCACGCAAAACACACATTGGCAAATTATTATTCAATAAAATCTGAGAATGTATACTATTATCTAGATCTATTATTTTTAAATTATTTAAAAAAATAATTCCCATATTTGGGTTAAAAAAAATATTCTACCTTTATGAGCGACAGTGTATTATTCGAAAAGTATGAAATTGTTTTGATTTATATTTATATATAATGCAATTTCTTTTCTAGAATTTGTTGAATGGAAGCACAAAACAATAAAATTCAAGACAAAACTATGGATCAGATATGACTATGTACATGTACTTCTCAACCCAGGTAATGCCAAATGGGTACCTGGCAGGAATTAATTTCTTGAAATGCTAGAGCGCCGTAATGGCAACACAGCTAAAAACCGGGGTAAAAACCTCCAAAATTTGTTAAGGCGCCTTGACCATCCTTTCGGGTGCATATGTGCGCATTATAAATGTTGTTAGTATAATTATTCTTGGATCAACCTTTAAAGTTACCATGCGAAAGACGTTATTCGGTTTCGAAACTGGGTCCTATCAGGGTCAGCTTGTAGACGAAGAAAGCTAGATACCTGACCATAAAATGCACATTGCCGATAGACCAACCCCCATCTCCTAAATTTTATAAATCATTTTCTTGTTTTCAGATGCTGAAGCCAATGACGGATGTGCGCAAGCATTGTGTGAGTGTGACAAGACGGCATCCCTGTGCTTCGCGGCAAACGAATATAATGATGCGTACTACAACTACGACAAGGAGAATTTGTGTACAGCCTAAATAATCGACGGGGTAGACTATTCATTGCACAAAACATTCACATTAACAGCACTATAGGGCTGAATTACAATAAAAAAATACGGGAAGGCTATAAGATATACATGGAAAAGAACAGGTCAGCAATTTATATAAAAGCATCAATGACGTTATTACGAATATTTTCATTGGGAATATTTACAAAATAGGAAATTGAAAATAGATAAGCTAGAACAGTATATTTTCATTCTCAAGATTGAATCTTTAGTTTTAGAGAGAGCAAACCGATATAAATATACATCCTCATAGTTTTTTTGTTTTTTTTAAATCGTCATCCTATAATTTTTTTTCTTTTTCTTTTTACGGGTTAACAATGATTTTGACAGTTAAGTGTATTACAATATTCTTACATAACTACTTGAGCACTATTTATCTGATTATATGGAATTCGTATTTGAAAGATATCGAACTTTAAAATAAAGATAGAAAGTTTTTAAATTATAAAATGATATGTGTGACATTTTCAAATCAACCTAAATATACATCCTTATAGTTTATTTTAAAAAGAAATCGTCATCCTATGAATTATTTATTTTCTTTTAACGGGTTAACAATGATTTTGACAGTTAAGTGTATTACAGTATTCTTACATTACTACTTGAGCACTAATTATCTGATTATATGGAATTCGTATTTGAAAGATATCGAACTTTAAAATAAAGATAGAACGGTTTTAAATTATAAGAGGATACATGTGACATTTTCTTGATGGAATTCTCATGAAATTTGAAATGAGTATGATAAAATATTACTTTATTGGGTAAAGTTCACTCCACTAATTACAGTTTACTTGCATAATAATGATTGGCTTCCCACTCACACCGAACGATTACTCCTAAGGTTAAAGAAAATGAAAGCATGGGGTACGACAAAAGAAGATTGTTGATCGAACTAAAAATTGTGTTTTTCGAGATTTCGTCGATTTCGTGCAATAAAGTGAATTATACTCTCAATTCAAAAAATTGTGCACTTTAATTATTGTACTAAGAAATTAAGTATGCGTAATCGAGATCAGGATTCTAATGATCTATACATTTCTACCATGTGATGGCAATCAAAGAATATTTAATCAGTCATATTGGATAAAGTCGTTTCATTTGAAATTGAAAACTTTTTTCTCAAATAAATCAGCCTTTATTCCGATTATACTACACAAGTTTTAAGAGTAAGGATAGGTCTAGGTCACGTTGCATATGTGCTAAATGTGCTTAATATCTAAATGATGAATTTTTACATTTTTCAGGATCGATTAGGATGAATGATGGTGGGGTGTGGTGGAGGGAGAGATTGGGAGGGTGTGCGCGTGTGTATTCAGGTGTGCTGTAATGTACCTAATACAACTGACCCATTGGCTATGTGATTTTGTTTGCATGTCTGGTGTGTTGCAGCCAGAAACGAGAGAAAGATGGAAACAGAAAGAGACACAGACACACAGATGTACAGAGAGACTGTGGTTGGTATATAGTGGGAGAGAATTAATACTGCATTAGTAGGGAGAGAGAAGTACACGCAAATTAAACTAGAGTTGTCGAATTTGGGTGTGATGAGCCGCAATTGAAAAATAAAAATCTTATCCTTTATCGGACTATTCTGTAAATTTCAATGTATCTGTTTTCTTAAATTATATCAAAGTTAAATTTTGTCATTTTCCTGGAGTAGACTTACCCTTACACTTTGAACAATCTATTGTATCTGTAAAGGGTACACATAGGAAAGAAAACAAAATGTGTGTAAGTATAACGTTATATCTACAAAAGTAATAACACAATCTGTAGGCCTATCTAGGTTGGAGAAAAGAGTGTCATAGCCGGAAAGTGAGAGGGGGGACGAAAAGTTCGCCGAGGAGGGGCCCCCAAAGAAAGGAAACGCCATAGCTCTTCCCTCCACTAAATCAATGGCACTGTTAACTTGTATATCATCCAACGAGTAAGGCCGATGCTCCCCTGCGCCATGATACACCCCACACGCACACACACACGCACATACATGACACAACACTGACAGAATAATAGAAAGTATAACAATGGTTAAAGTCTGCTACATTTCAGGATGTACGCAAGTGCTTGCTTAATGGTAGAATGTAAAGCAAGAGTAAAGCATTGCGTGGTACTAAAACCGTAATAAAAAAAATGGGAACTTCGACTATTTCAAGTCACGCATAATTCGCCCGTTGCACGCGTGGCTTTATATGGGTAATAACGCAGGACTGCGTCAGCGACATGATCAGTCATTTGACGCCCCATGTGAGATTGACATAGTATACAAAGCGAATGAAAAATTAATAGAGCACCCAAAGTTTTGAATTACTGAAATATTGAATTAATGCCTTCACTCGCCCCACTACACCTTACGATCGTTCTAATTAAAGATTATACGTCACCATTCAGTCATTAGCAAAAGATTGCAATTTTTCGTTAATGGAATATTTAATTGTGTCCCTAGTAAATCCTTCAGTCTTTCAGCACAGTAAAATAACACACTTACAATTAAAAAAGGTAATTTGATCGATTTCGGCGAAAATTAAGATGAACAGAGGAAAGGGATAAATTAGGGACATTTTTTCTCGTCATTTTGTAACTTTAGGCTATAATTAAAATTCTGCACGTTCAATTATAAAGCCATGAGGGACAAACTGTACGGCCATGCATTATGGTTCAAGGCATGGCCACGCAGAGGATTTTTTTCTGTTGGGGTGTTTGGGGAAAATGCAATCATATTGCTCCGATTGTCTCATTTTCGCTCGCTCGATCACTGCAGCACAAACATAGCTCGTTCGACGTCACTACCAAACTAGCCAATCAGCTGTCAATGACGTCATATTGAATGCGGCGGCAAATATATTTTGTGAAATTATCGAGAAATTGACTATTTCTAATTGCAAAATAGTTTTATTTTTGGATGGAAAAGCAGCCATTGTTATCTTGACATTCATTGAAGTAATCAGACTAGGGTAAGTTACTTCTCAGATGATTCAAGAGGTCCATTTTGTAGATATATTTTATTTCTTAAAAATGTTCCACTGTGTTGCAGGGTACCGGGTGTATGCCATTGGGTGTGATGTGTTCGCGCGCTATAAGTACAGGCCACCGCGCCGTCGGGTGTATTCTCGTACTGATGTAGGTTCAAAGCTAGAATGGCTACCACGCCCACTTCCCTCTCTATGCCTTTCCGAACGTTCCTTTCCTTCTCAATACAATAACTTTCACCTGCCTAAGTTATTCAAACCATACCGCCTCGCCACTTCCATTACGTAATCATTAAAAGGATCCGCATATACAACATTTTCCTGCTATACGTTGTACTGCAGGAAAATACAAATCTCCCTGGTATACCTTACAATCCAAACGATAAATATGTGCCTTTAACGAAGCAGGCGACGATAAGCGTAGCAGACGACACTTGATAGTAATTTTGTATGTGAGATTGCTTTGCTAAATATAAATTACTTTGTTAATAGATATCAACTTAAATTTCTTTTACATTTCTTCATCATTGATATTTAATAGTTCATGACTGAGTAAAAGAAAAAAAAAACTATATAATTATATGAAATACTTGGTGGCAATTAGGGGAGTTTGACGTGATGACTGATTGCACCCCTCTGTTAATAACCGAATAGTCCATTGTGTGTCATGAATATTCATGTTTTTGCTTACCTCGGCTAAATGTTTGCTTTTACTAAATTAAAAAATTACGGTGGGGGGTTGGATGAAATGGACATAATGAAATAGGCAAAAGTGATCTATGATAATTCATGCTTTTTATGTTTCGTGTGCTCGACCTATAATCTTCAAATCGCTTGGCAAACTGAGTCCAAAGTTAGACTTGTTTCACATGTGTAATATAGGCAATGACGAGCTTGCAACCTATTTTGAAAAATTACCGTGGGTGAACTTTCAAAAGTCAATGAGACATGAGGGCTCCAATGAAAGAGCTAGTGATAACTAACGTCGGGGTGGATGTGCTTTTCGTTTAAACAAAAAATGAATTTTTAACGATTTTTTTAAAAAAACGTCCATAGGCTAACATGTTAGGCTGCTGACTCTGACCATGCTCTGACGATAGGGGGCGTTGTGAAATGAGACTAAACGGAGCAATATGGAAATATTGATAATTTATTGCATTTTCTTTGTGTTTTTTTAATTTATTGGGGCTGCTCCCTACCCTAGCCCCCGCTGCGTACAGTCATGATTCAGTGGCAAATCAATGGCCGTAACTATGAGGCCCCAGGTTCAAAACCGTGTCAATGTGCCTTATTAGTGCCCTTTTGTGAGGCATTAATCCTTATTAATGTCACTTATGACTTAAGGACGTAGGTCCCTATTTTATAAGTATAGTAGCACACACTTGCTTTAGCACTCATGCAAAACATACACTCGCAAATTATTATTCAATACAATCTGAAAATTTATTCTATTATCTAGATCTATTATAAATTGGGGTAAAAAAATTATTCCACCTTAATGACAAACAGTGTATGTATATATATAGTTTTTAAGATATATATATATACATACTTTTAACAATTGATATAATATTCATTGGGAGTGTAATTCATCAAAAGGCAGGAATTCATCTCGTTTCACAGAATATCTACACTCATTATTTGGGGTTAGCTCCCCTTTAAATCAGCAACACTACTTATATCATAAATATATTAATATCATAAATATATTAGGCATACAAATCCATACAGTAACTACATCATTCACTATGTTGACATAACACTTGTTCAGCTCTGGCTGCAATAAATTTATGAAATAATTTTCTTTGGTATATCTTATGTTTCGTTTTATTTTATTTTCCCACATTATAAAAAGGCATCACATCAAACTCTAGATTCTACCATTACAATTTAATTTCTGGATGAGCATGAAAAGTTATCTTTTAATTCGAACTAATTGGTAAAAATGCATACAGTAATCGCATCATTCGAAATTTTTGTTCTTACTTCTCAATACTGTTAAACAAGATTTTACACTGTTGATCGATAGTATTTAAAATATTTACATTATTGGGATCGTATGAAGATAGTTATTACAAACAGCATCTTCTGTTCGATTTTGTTCTTCTTTGTTTGTCTTTATTTATGTCCTCCATTTTACGTCCTCTTTTGTATATCTACTTTAATGCGATTTTCCTGATATTTCCGAGGCAAATTTCCCTCTCTCACTTCCTCGTTCGATTGAATTTTACAAATTCTTCTAGCCAGATAATAGGGTATATTTATTTTGGAGTGGCGTGGATAGTAGCAGACAAGATACAAATGTTGAACAGTGTCAGTTATTTATTATGTACCTCCGTCTCCAATTTCATGTTTAGGTTCATTCAAGTTTTATCTTGGAACATCTTCTCTCCTGACGCCTCCATTTTGAATGAAATATCTGTATGCAGATTCTGCAGAATATCGCAAATACTCTCCATACCTTTTTTTTCCATGTGAGAAAATCAATCATCGAGGTATCATAACCAATGTTTTTCCACATATAATCCACCTTCCAAATATAAAAGAAAAGTATATACATATTTGTTTTCCTGATTTATCCATTGGTTGGATTAAGCATACGACTTTTTATTGTTTGTATGTTCCTTAAACATCTTTGTTTTCTATAAATACATCTTTAATTAAGAATAATTGAATAAAGCGCGGGGGATGCATTTTTAATAAGTGGTAGCAAAACTAGAACACTAAGATGGTTTATTCTTTGAGTAAATAAATTCATGAAACTTTATGTAAATTTAACGTTATAAATCATCAGCTGCTATATGAAATTATGATTAGTATAATAATTCTTATGATAGTAAAAAAAGATGACACCTGTGCAAGGCTGATCTGTGGTTGTTCTAAATTCACACGGATCACCCCAATTTTAAGAAATCTACATTGTTTACCAGTACGCCAGAGAATAACATTCAAAATCTTGCTGATTGTATATAAAGCACTTCTTGGTCAAGCTCCCACTTATATCAAAGAACTGTTGAATTTCAAACCTAATCAACACAATCGCAACTTGCGCAGTTCCCGAGATACTTTGTTGCTACAGATCCCATCTATCAAAACAAGAATAACGCTAGGTGATCGAGCATTTGCTTGTGCAGCCCCAAAACTCTGGAATAACTTGCCATTTGAAGTCAGGAAATCACCATCTGTAAACGTCTTTAAGTCAAAACTGAAAAAAACTTCTTTTTAACTGTACCGTAAATCTAAGCAAATCAGGAGCTCTTGTAGCGCAGTAGAATATATACCTAATGTTGGATAGTTTCTGCGCTTTATAAATGTACTATTATTATTATTAATGACAATTTATATTTTTATTAATCACTCTGTTCAAATGAGGCATTAGAACCACACATATTGTTATATACATCTTAAGACAATCATGGTCGGTGAGATTCGTAACACACACACACTCTCAAACACATCACGCACACACTATCGTCGTACGTCATATTGTAGATTTTCTAGACTTATTATACATCACTGAATACAATAAAAGTATCGATTTCTTGATTGAATTACACATTAAACTCATTATGTAACGTATACCATCACCTCTCATACTTAAACATGAGTCTGTCCATCTATTCTAATAGTAACATGATCATGATGAACCAAGCCAAAGCAGCAGTATATCCTACGAATTATGTTCATATGAAAAGAGATAGTGTAGCATTTCAGGCCAATAACATTATTCAATATTAAAGAGCTGACACAAATTACTTCATTACGACAGTAATATGTTCAAGATTCATCTTTGAATTCCCATTATTCCACTTATTGTAGCTTAAAACGTCTAAGAAGCTAACCCTTTTTGTTGCAAGTGTATTAAAAAAAAGAGAGAGTTCATATTTCAGTTATTTTATATCGTCGCCCATGTATCAACATTTTTGTTTTCGCTTCGTTTTGTTTTTTCCTTTGATTGTTAGTAATATTTTTTTTTTACAGATTAAGAATGACATTTTATGCTTTAGCAGATGAAAATAGTTCCAAGGCAAAGGAAATGACGAACGCAGACTCGTCATTTGACTGCCAATGTAAAGTTAATTTGAATTGTATACTTCGTTATATGATAACATTCTCAGATCAATGGCATCAGTGCGGTAGGGATACTCCAGGAATAGATTGTTTGTGGATAATCCCCCCCCCCGTTCCTCCAAAAGATATATAGATTGAAGCCCCTCTTTGAAAAATTACTCAACTAATAGACTTTAGGCTTATTAACAAGAATCGTTTCAAGTATCTGCGTTATTGCTCATTTTATACCTCTTTGAGGGATACCTAAACATAAGAAAGGCCGGATAATTGTGGTGCTCTCTGTGACGTTCCAATCTATTCCAACATAAATATCAGTGTTTAAAATTTTAATGTTTCAAAAATGCATGAATCAAAAGTGTGTTTTTTTTTCTCTATGGAGGACTTATAATAATATTCTATCATACTATTTTCTGTAGTGCCCAAAGTAAGAAGGCACTTGGGAGAAAAACTGAAATTAATGATATTTTTGTACGCGGCAAACGAGAGAGTTATCCGCGACGACGTCACAGTGCACTGACCAAACTGCCAATTTGAAATTTATATAGACTTAGTGATGTCATATTAAAAAACTCCGAACTTTCTTATCATTGTTCCCATTTTTTGCAAACGTTTGTCAATTTCTTTATCCTATTTTCTGCTTTTATACAAAAGATGTCAATACGAAGGTTGGATTGCCTCTTAAGATTCTACGCCATGATTCATGAAAGCTCGCGGCGGGAAAAAGAATAATCCTCGAACATATCGCGGCGCACGTCTGGGTGATTCTATACGCTCCATCTTATTCCTTTTAAGGTCTAACATAATTATGCTGTGTTAATTCGGTGGTGGCAGAGGATCGGATTGTCCACCCTGTAAGGCGTAATATGAGGGAGGACTTGGTAAGGAGTCGGTTTGAGACGCTGGAGGATAGGGATTCGGTGGTTGTTGCGGTAGGGAGTCGGTTTCAGTTGCTGGAGGATAGGGATTCGGTGGTTGTTGTGGTAGGGAGTCGGTTTCAGTTACTGGAGGATAGGGATTCGGTGGTTGTCGCGGCATCTGTGGCTAAGTCGGCACGGATATCATGCCATTTGAAGTGGGAGCCGCAGGGGTGTTATTAGCGGCAGGATGAGAACTAATGGTGCTGAGAGGGACCTGAACCGATGACGTAGGTATGACGACCGGCTTACGCTGACTGCAGGTATAACATACAGCTACGAGAGCAAACAGTGTCAGCAAGGACAAAGACACACCAACAAAAGACATGATGCCCACGACACGTGAAGAGGTAGCGGGTGAACCTGCAGCACAAAAAATGGATTATAAAGAAAAGAACATAGAAACATGAATTTCCTCATTTCAGTATAGATGGAATTCTCACTTTTATATACACCGAAATTCAAAAGTTCATCCTCCCCAATTAGATTTATATTTGTGTAGGAATTGCAACACAAAAAGGATGTTATATATGTGGTCGACAAATAGTTTTAGGTTTGTTTAAATGCTAATATTTTCTTGCCTGAATAGAGTGCTGCTCAGTTACTGAGAGTTCTTCTCGGTTTGATGTTTTACACCATGGCTAAGAGCAAATCTGGACAGGGTATTCTACTTCAGATTCTCAGGTAAATACTCAAGCTATTGCCTTTCGAGAGACTGAAGAAGAAAAAACAGTCAGGAGATAGCCAAATCCCTGGGCAGAAGTGTACGATGGGTTGGGAAATGGAGGCAGCGACACAAGCATGGTGATTCTCTTGATGACAAACCCAGATCAGAGCGGAGTTCCAGGGTCAACGAACTAATCTGCAAGGCTAAGGTAAACAGGTACCAGGCCTGCAGCAGACAATGAAAAATCTTGGAAATGTTTCGAAAGCCAAGGTACGGTGTATCCGGTTCTACAAACGATTGAAACTTCCACGATTCACCAATTTACAGAGAGACACGAGCTTGGCCTTCTCTAGTGAGTATCCTCTGTACCTTTTTCCCTTCTCGCTCAAAGGCGCTTTCTACGTCAAGGTATCACAATTAATGCACAGTTCAATTCATAAACAACATCTTGCAGCAGACATTGCTCCATATCATGGGTAGAAAGCAATTAATCAGAACCCGTTACACCAAGGAAATGGTTAACAAGCAGCCTGACATGGTGTTGGTTCACGATGGTGCACCTGGTCATACTTCTCTAGTGACTAAGCAGTAGAGTGCCGAATGTCGACCACCTTCCAGGATTCTTGAATAAGAAGGAATGGATACCCACCTCTCTAGACTTGATCCTGATCAAACACTGTTGGAGAATCCTGAAAAGGCAGGTTCTAATGCGTAGTCTACCTGAACCATCATGAAACAGCTCATCTCCAATGCAACAAAGAAGTGTTACAAAATAGAATTATCTGGTAGAGATATCTATGCCTGAAATACTTGAGGCTGTTGTGAAGAAAAATGGAGAACAAACTTGCTTTTAGAATAATTGGATCTGCACCCGCAACTCCTATCAAGAAAAATGAGAATCATCAGATAATGGCTATCAAAAACAAGCATGTATGGATTTGCATTTCCAGCTATTGTATGTTGAGAACGCTCTGTACAGACTTACGACATTGCACTCCTGCATCTTCGCTGTGAGAACAGTCTTCAATACCCCATCCGGCGTGACTACAGAACTCCAACCTTGTTTCATATCCCGAACAGCCGACTTCGTCTAGGTATATCGGGTCAGATCCTTGACCATATGTACCACCACTCCTGGCTACACCAACATCACCTGAGTATCCAAGCTGTTGACAAACTACCCTCGCATCAGAGTCATCCCAACTGTCATCACATACTGTTCCCCATTGACCTTCATGGAAGATCTCAACCCTGCCTTCATCTAAACTGTATCCATCAACCAGGCGGACGTCTCCTTCCAAATCATTGTCTGCAGGATCAAAACATAAACAAAAAATAATCATCATAAGTGGTAAGATTATGACCGATATTATTAAAAGCGTACCTAATTTGAATAGTCCATGTAGGCGTAAAGCACATCTATTTTCTTTAGAAACAAGATGTTATTATTGTTAATGTCATCATCATCATCATCATCAGCAGCAGCAACATGATGAGAGCCACATCGGTGACATTCACTGTTCTCACAGGGTGCTCTGGTTAAAGATTCTTTTTTTCATCGACGTCAGCCTTAAATAGAACCGTCAAGAAATCTGTCCGACCCGTGTTCTGCATCTGACGGATTTTACCGTCGTTATCACCAGCAATTAAAAGGAAAGTAAAACGTTTTTTTTTTGTATGGCTCCTTTTTGTATTTACAAAATTCTGTGATTTGGAAGATATGTTTACAAAAGAGATGTTTAGGGCCTATTTTGTATCATTGCTCACAAAATAGCTTCATCGTTATTATACTATCTGCGATGTTATCGTTTATGAAGACTGAAAAACGAGATTAATTCAACGGACAATAAACGAACATACGAAACTAAGGATTAAATGTCGGTCATTGTAGTAGCCGGATGAATTTTGTTACTCTATACAAAACTAGTGAAGGAAACTTTAAAAAGTCTACGCCATTTTATATAAAGTGTGGAGAACTGGCCATAAAATATATTTTTGAACAGTGTGAAATTCCTAAGATTGTTGGAATTTGTGTTACATGTTGCGATTATGTGATTCCAGCTATTATTTTTCTTGTGGGCAGTTGGCCTCGGAGGCCGTTGTTTTCGTGGGATTTAGCCAAGCTCTATACGCAAACGAAGGAAACATACAGGTAATGCAATAATAATAATCACTTGGTGTCACCTGAGCCTTGGAAAACAAAACCAACGTGAATCATTGTCAGTTGTTTCAAAATTAACGTTTCTATCAATATTGATTTGATTTGTATGTTTTGCATTTCGTGTATGTTTTGCAGAAGAAAATAATTCAATTCAATTCAATTACCCTCAGGTCTCCTCCCGATATAAATGATTGGGGTCGATCAATAGTACAATAGGGTTCCCCTACACCTATTTGAAGAGTGCTTTGGGTTCTTCACGTGAAAAGATAGTGACATTCCTCCACACGAGGTCTTCTTTTTACTTCGTATCCGATGGTAGGAGTGTTTTCCGCTATAACATAGCGTGTATCTTTGGAACACGCTTGTGCTCATAAGCGCACAAGACGATCTTTAGTCATCCCCGCGGGTTGGGTTCTAAGCCACGATCTTTGGACATGTTGGTCCGACAGGCCAGGCGCGGATCCAGGATTTCTTAGGGGAGGGAGCCCAACTTTTTTTTTTTTTTTGCTCCCGAAAATTTGAAAATCGCGCCGGCCGATAAGTCGCTCAGTGGGGGGGGGGGGGGGGGGGGGGGGGGGGGGGGGGGGGGGGTAGTGAGCACATTATTTTTTTATTTTTTTTTTGGTCCTCGAAAATTTTAAAATTTGCAACCCCCCTTGAGCGCCAGGGGGGGGGGGGGTCCAACCCCCCAAAAAGGTAAAAATCGCGTGATTTTACATGATTTTTTTCTCAAGGGGGGACCCGGGCCTCCCGGGGCCCCCCTGGATCCGCCACTGCGACAGGCAGATGCTTTACCGACTATTATATACCAACTCGCCTCCTCAATGCCTGCTTTATATTGTTTGCGACTTACAATTGTTGTCATAGCAGTAAACTCCTGCATCTTCGCTGTGAGAACAGTCTTCAACGCCCCATACGTTGTGACTACAGTACTCCAATCTACTTTCATATCCCGAACAGCCGACTTCGTCTAAGTATATCGGGTCAGATCCTTGACCATATGTTCCACCACTCCTGGCTTCACCAACATCACCTGAGTATCCAAGCTGTCGACAAACTACCCTCGCATCAGAGTCATCCCATCTGTCATCACAGACTGTCCCCCACTGGTAATTGTGGTAGATCTCAACCCGGCCTTGGTTTGGAGTGGACCCATCAACAAGGCGGACATCCCCTTCATTGATGTCTTCAACGCAATTATAAAAGAATAAGAAATTAACGAAGGTGAATAGTTTTTACAATATACATGTTTACAACTAAATTATTCACACCCTTACCGGTTCTTGTAATTGTTGAAGTATGTGAACATTGATTCGCCCCAATTTTTGTTTCTTGAGGAGTTGACATATAAAGCATACATTTGTTTTTGTTATAACATTAAAGGCCCTAATTCAACCAGCCCACCTTTTATTGGGGAGTTACGAAAAACACAAAAAACATCAAATTTGCAAAGAAAAAAATTATTCAGTTGTTAACAGTACGTTTCGACTATTATGCATTTACTGCGATCCCGATGTGATAATATAGTTCGTGCAAGTCATCAAACCTTTTTACTAAATGTCATATTCCATCCTTACGGCTATAAGATTCATAACAATCTTTAATTATTGGAAAGAATTAAAAGGAAGCCATATGCTTTTGCAAATATGTTATATCAAATACCCTTATTTACACACAAACCTATGAACCGGGACCTACATAAAACAAGCTTTGCTTTTTAGTAGATCCCCCACTTTATTGATTGATTTATATGATTGTATTCTCTGTTATAACTATTATCATGTACATTATGTTTTCTATATTGTATGTTTAGTAATTACTATTGTTCATTATGTTCAATTATGTTATTTTTGATAAAGTGAAATAAATAAACTTGAAACTTGAAACTTGAAGTTATAACTGCGTAATATTTATCAATGAAACATGCGGTCATTTTGTATCGGACAAAATATAGAAGAAAGAGATGGACGACGAAAACTGCTATCAGCTTGATCTTTTGTGCAATATCATAACATTTGCGTAATTGTAAATTCATTATATGAATAACCACAGTAACCCTAAATTTATGAACCTTCTGTTTTTATTTATGTAGGGAGAGTTAGGAAAGGTATCGCTGTAGGATATTTTGCATTCGAAAATAGGATGGGCCATTTTTCCCTTACTGTACCAATAGCCGATTATTACCAATACTGTGCAAGTACCGTGTCTGCCTATCTGTGACCCTGTAGCTTTCCAATTGTACGCCTATTTGGAGACAACGCTAAATTTCAAACAGTTTGGGGTCTAAAATTACCCTCATGGCAATTTAAGGTCCTAAAAGAGCACTAGTAACGTCATAAATAAGAATAAGAGCAATGACCATGCACTTTGAAGGCATTTGCGGTCTGAAACAAGAACTCAACTATCCCTTTAAATGTTTTTTGCTTACCACATTCTACAGCCGCATCCTCGCTATGACTACAATCGTGTTGTCCCCAGGATGAATGAGAGCAAGAATCTAGACGATATTCGGTCCCGAAGCAGTAGGTCCCGTCAAGATGGATAGGACCAGACCCAGGATTGATAGCTGTATACCCGCGAGCGTTGGTGGTTCCGAAACTGAGCTGTCGACAGACAACTTGTGCATCGGAGTTGTCCCACGTGTCATCACAGATAGTACCCCACTGGTTATCGTGGTAGATCTCGACCCGCCCTCGCCCATTCTGGGCGCCATCAACAAGCCGTACATCCCCTCGAATTCTGATCCAAAAAAGAGAGAAATCGAACAAAAATGTATCGATAATTACTACGACAAACCATCAAAAACATCAAGAACATTTATATAGACGACAACAAAGAACAGAAGTAACTGAGAACAATGGTTACAGTAAGAAGAAAAAAAAATTCTTCGTTTTTACAAATAAAAATGCACTAATATACTGTAATAATGTACTTGTTCAAATTATTTCATTAGAACCTATCTTTTTCTCGAGTCACTACGCCACAAGGTTCACTTGTCTCAATCCATTGTTGGATACATTGTATCGCGCAGGTGGGGTCAATGGTTCTAGATCTTCTTAGGTGCAAGGGTCTGGTACACGTCGACAGGCTAGAAGATGTTGCATAGTCTGCTCCTCTTCACACATGCAAATAGTGTCATATAGTTTTCATTATATACCTCACTTAAGAAATCCAGCCATCTGATCGGTCGAAATTGCATTCATAAACTTTAACTATTCCTGTAAAATTCCCGATAAAATTCCAAACCCATGTAATAGTTCAAAAAAATAGTTCTGAAATCCCAGTTACCATGGTTACTGGGAAAATAGTTCAGTCTTGGTGAAATACCCATAGGTTCACATGTTAAAAAATGGTCTGAGCGAACGAGGATACCGTACGTGTGCGATGAATTGGTCGGTAATTTCAATACAATTGAATCTCGATCGATCTTACCGACAATTTTATCTTGCATTGTTGACATGAAGACGAAAATAAACTTCCAAAAACAACATCTGCCGATAGATCTTGATCTAAGTTCGTGCCAATGCATTGCAAAAGTAAAAGAAGGGCCCGTTTAATGGAGCTGCCGCGAAGCATCCAGCACGCGAAGCCGTTTTCAATCCATTTTAATGTATAAATTAGAGAAAACCGCCCCCACCGCCCCCCCCTCCCCTGGCTACGCTCCTGGAATAAGATGAAGATAAAGAAGAAGAAGAAGAAGAAGAAGAAGAAGAAGGAGAAGAAGAAGAAGAAGAAGAAGAAGAGGATGAAGATGAAGAAGAAGAAGAAGAAGGGAAACAAAGAAGAAGAAGAAGAAGAAGAAGAAGAAGAAGAAGAAAAAGAAGAAGAAGAAGAAGAAGAAGAAGAAGAAGAAGAAGATGAAGGTGAAGAAAAAGAAGAAGAAGAAGAAGAAGAAGAAGAAGGGAAACAAAGAAGAAAGAGAACAAGTAGAAAAGGGAGAACTATGTTCATCACGAATATAATTGTCGCTTCATTCAACATTTTCATGATTTTAAGGAAAACAAAAGACCTGTCTTAATGACAAGAACTAAAGGATATTGACATCGTTTAGCCTCAGAAAGAAGACGATTCGTTGTACCTTTCTCGACTCTTAATCCTTATCTGAATTCATTCCCCCCTCCCCCCTCCCTCCTGCGCGAAGCGCGGAAGCTTTGACGTATTATTAGACAAAGAAGACGATTAGTTATACCTTTTCCGACTCTTAATCCTTAATTTGAACTCAGTTTCCCCCTTTCTGCGCGATTCCTTTTCCCTTTTTCTACGTCCTTTTACCTTTTTCTTCTCTTTCCCTCTCTCTTTTTTTTGACCGGCGTTTTTTTTTTTTTGGGGGGGGGGGCGACCGCCCCCACCGTCCCCCCCCCACCTGGCTACGCTCCTGGAGTCGTGTTATGATGATATATGAAATTAAACACCTTCTTGCCTTCAGGTATTTCAATCAATCCTAATGACGTACATGAGCATCATACAAGGCAAATAGACAGAGGATGTTTACGTAACCCAGGAATAACAACGTTCTGTTTGTTTACAGTAATGCTTGCATTTCCATACTTTTATTAAACGTATTCGTTTTCACTGGTTGTCTACCGTAACAACAAAGAAGGCGAAATACGTCATGCATGGCTGATCGTCAACGTGACTTAGTGTGTTGTTTGTTTCTACGGCAGGCAGCCAGTAAAACGTATTCGTTTGATAACATTATGGAAATGCAAGCATTACTTTAAACAAACAGAACTTTGTTAGTTCTGACTCATTCTTCCTGATTGATGTTTCATATGAAATGGCAGAAAATGAAAATTTTAGACATTTGATTTTCTCTTTGAAATTCAGATACCGTCCGCCTAATGACTTTTTGATACCTTTTCTTCAAATTGTTTTAAATCACTCATGCGTGAAATATGCATCATATGAGTTGCATCGAATGAAGATAAAGATATAAGCGTAACAAATATGTGTCATTTATTAATTATAATTGTGATTAAGTTATGATAAAACATCGATAATTCTCGGTCTCGTTTTTTCAGGGACGCATTGTATACTGTTGGCATGGGTGTCGATCTGTAACTGATACCTATTCATCGGGGGGGGGGGGGGTGATCTATTCATTCATGCCCCCCCCCTGATGAATAGGTATTACGTAAGGATCGACACCCATGACTGTTGGTCATAATGGTGGAAAAAATCCTCTATGTGGGCATGCCTTGACCCATAATGCATTGCCCTACAGAGGAATTGTATATGTTGGGGACCGGGGGGGAAATACAATGAATTATTGAAAATCTATTGCATTTTCGTTCTTTTTTTTTTGTATTTGTGGGGGCGGCGACGTACCCTAGCCCCGCTGCGTACAGTCATGGTTCAGTGGCTAAGTAATGTCCACGTTACTGTGAGCTCCCAGGATAAAAACCGTATCTATATGCTTTATTAGTGCCCTTTTATGAGGCATTATTCCTCATCACTGTCAGTTATGATTTAAGGACGTAGGTCCCCTAGTAGATTAGCTTAGTAGCATACACATGCTTTAGCAGTCATGCAAAACAAACACTCACAAATTATTATTTGATAGAATCTGAGAATGTAAACTATTATCTAGATCTAGTAGGAATAAATCATTGTTAAAATCTTTCCATAAATCGGGGTAAAAAGAAATTATTCCACAATTATGACCAACAGTGTATACATCCATGAAAGACATATACAGTGACTGATGACTCTGCATATACATGTAGGAATGTATTTCTACACAGAGTCTCACATTATACACGGATGAGTTGAGCACCATTAAAAACATATTTCCTGTATTTACACAACCTACATATTGGGTCACTGCTATTTATATCCATGTCGTAATACATGGTAATGAGCTTTTCATATTTGTTAAAGGGGAACTAACCCCAAAGAATAAGTGTAGATATTCTGTAAAAAGAGATTAATTCCTGCCGTTTGATGTAAATTAAATCTTACGAACGTGTACAAGAGATATATGAATGTAGATTTCTTGGCCTGATGTTATGCCTTTTAGCATGACATGGACGCAGCCATTTTCTTGAACATGTGACGTACCAGTTGGAGTTATACATGTATCATGCACCAAGCTTCAATTGAAAAGACTTTTTAATTCAATTAAAAAACCTTTAATTTTCAATGAGTAAAAATTATAGACGAGAAGGTAAAAATTACTCTTTGAAAAGCTTTGGACTATCAATACATGGAGCATATATTAAAATAATAATGATGATAATGATAATGGTAAGGAGCAGAATAAGAAGAGGAAACAAGGAACTAAAAATAATGTATATATATATATATATATATAGGATTTCCCGGCCAAATTCGCGTGTTTGTCATTCGAATTCATTTACTTTGCACTTAAGGTAGCGCAGATCGGCTTTGCCATGCCAAGTATCATTCAATTTTCCAGTTTTTGTATTTAATTTAGAATTTTGGTCGAAGGGTTTCATAGATCTGTCATTCAATTTAGAAACTGCTCAACTAGCATTCAAATTAATATTCACTTGTCGAAGCGTAATTTTTATCATTCAAATTAACACCTGTCATTCGTATTCGTAATATTTTTTATTCAAGTTAGGAATGTTAGGGGGAAGAATTGCATCAAACTTTTATAATTTTTAAATAATGCAGTTAAAATGCATGATTTGCCATTGGGGTCTAAGCTGTTATTCCATTTATTTATTTTCAGGACAATGCAGATGGGTGTAGTCAGACATAAAGTAAAGAAGGGGCGAAATCAAGGGATATGGAATTTCTGCACGGACATGTTCATATACCCGGGAAAGGTGGGGGTACCCTCAATCGCCCCTATTTACTACAGACTCGGAATTTTACAAAAGTAATTCACATCGTCTCTTATACCCAGCACACCCCTCTGTTTTTCTTAAAGAGTTTCATAGTTTACTTGCCCGCCAGCAGATCGATGGCTAAAGACATGTTCAAATTGTTGACTCCAGTCACTACCCCAGTCACAATATTGTACCCTTCTTCCATAATGAAGTTATGATGAAATTATGATACATTTATGATGAAACATAAGACAAAACAACTTCCTTACATGAACATTTACAAATATACTGAGACCATCAGGTCCGTAGATGCAAGTCGCTTTTTCTTCTTAACAATCAAACTTAAATGCTGATGAATATCAGATAAATCTAATAAGTATGAATAAATGCAAGAAAATGAAATATGATGAAATACACATGAAAAAACAATCTTGAAAGAAAAAGAATGAGCTATAAAAAGTGTGTAATAAACGAGAAATGTATATTGACCATCAATTCAAGTGCACAAAGTGCTAATTTGAATGCTACAAAGTACAAATGAATTAGAATGCTAAAAGTACACTGTCGTGTTGTCAGAAAATCGTGTTGCGCCAAATCGAATGACCAAATAGCGAAAGAAGCACATTGTTCATTAATTTGAATGAAACATAAGTAGATTCTAACGAAAATTCCATAGATTTGAAAACTAGAAAAGGGAATATAAACCTGAGATATACTTGACTGTACTAAAACCATCGAATTTGAACGCAAGACAAATTAATTTGAATGACAAACTCGCGAATTTGGCCGGGAAATCCTATATATATATATATATATATACATAATGTATTTTGTATTTAGTCATTTATTTTTTAAGCGATTAAATATAAGGCCTACCGCTTCTATACCAAAAGGAAATTAACATCATAAGCCTTCATACAGAAGTGGTATAGCTGATTTGAACCCATTTTTGTTTGGGTATACCACTCGTACGAGAAGTCATGTAGTACATTGTAATGGGCTTGTAGATTAAAACATATTCACCCTCTGAATATATTAAAAATGAGTATAAAATAAAAATAGGAACCAAATCTTACTAGAATTTACACTTACGGCATCGTACGTAATTTGGCCAGAACACAACGAAGGCGCTGAATATTATCCACAGTCTCATACCACGAACAAGCTTCCTATCAGTATTTGACGCCATTTTTCAAGCACTAAGAATGACGTTGGTCTTCACAACGGTTTGTATATATGTATTATCCAAGAGATAAATTGACCTTAGTCTGGTGTACTAGATGATTCATGAGTGCGTGCACACAACACTAATGTTGGGAGTGTGGAAAAGAGGGAGAAGGAGAGAGAGAGAGAGAGAGATGGAGAGAGAGAGAGAGAGAGAGATGAACAAAGAAAATTTAGGGCGGCGTTGTATTTGCTTTGACTGTATAGATCAATCACATGAAAGAGAAAACGCAGATACAATGCCAATATAATATTGGTAAAGGCGGGTTACCATAGCAGCCCAATCCTCTTTGTAATGCACTAAGCAGCTTCAGTGTGCTATACACATTTCTGATTGAATCAAATTCTTACGGCATTATTACCCACATGTGAAATGTTCTCGAGTCTAATATTTTGGTAGATTAAGATAAAGGTGAGTTCTGGTTAAACAAAAGAAAATGAATTCTCACAGAATCAAAAGAAACTTACACTGAATGTTCAAGATTACAAATAAATGTCATTTGCCAAACAATTTTGATAGAAAATGTATACTGGCTGAGTAATGAGCATAGTATCCCCGACACCATTTGTGTAGTCCCATATACATCTTTCTGTGTACACTCTTTGTTACTTAACCGAGACTGGGCCAAATTTATTATGATTTTGATGACTCCAGAACTTTGAAGTACACACCAATACTTATATGCTACATGATCAAATTTTTCTGAACCATTCCACACCTTTTTTCACAATGCATTCGGATGACCAGAACTCACTTTTATCTTTAAAGGGCAATCTGAACCTGTGAATGACTTGCTAGTAAAGCAAAGACAAACAGATTGGTGATATCTGATCAACATAACAAGCTAGGAATATTTATGTTAAAATTAACTTTGGGATGAGTTCTCGATCGGGTTGTCATGTGATCACATGTCATGGAGCCGTATGTTGATATAAGTACCTAGTCACATCGACGGAATGATATCAATAATGATGATAATAGTAATGATGGTAATTTTAATAATGATAATAATATTCATACAAATGATTATAATAATATTCATTATAACATAAATAAAAATAATGAAAATATTAATAATAATAATGATATTTATATTAATAATTAAAATAAAAATGATAATAAGATGATAACTAGTACATAGTACGCTCCGAATACAATGTTTACAAAATACGTTATTCATAATATTTAATTTATTTAAAACAAGTACAAATTAAAAGGAATTATATGAAAAGGAGTGCAACTACTTGGGGGAAGAGGTATGTTTTTTAGGAGTTTCTTGAATTGTTCTGTGGAATTAACTTATTTGCGTGAAGGATGGGATGTGGCTCCATTCTTTGGATGCAGTTACAGTAAATATGCGATCACCAGCTTGGCTACGAGTCTGTGGAATGGTAAGAAGAAAAGGGTCGCTAGAAGAGTGAAGATTAGGACGGGATAGGTTGTGAAATGTAAGACTATCTTTAATATATACTGGGCATTTGATTATGGAAGTCTTTAAAAACAAACAGTAGGATTTTGACGAGAATTCTTTCTCTTTTTTGGAAACCAATGCAGGTATTTTAGTAGAGGTTTGGGTCATGACGTCGATCGGCTCAATCTTATAATCTATGTTGCCGCGCTTCCCATGTACATTGGCAATAGATGTTGGACAAGAACACTGTTAAATAGACTTACATTTTTTTAAGTATAAAGGTTATCGAACCTATGTAAGAGTAACATTTCCATGAGAACAAAGATTATGACAGAACCAATCACAAGAAATTCCGTTTTATCTTCATTCAACTTCAGCATGTAACGGGTCATCCAGGCGCTTTACATGTCTGCCACAGAAGAGGTTAGGGTCTCCAGTGCACCATCTAGGCTGCAAGCCCTTTCGAATCACATGTTACATAGAGTTGTATATCATCGGCATAAGTATGTTAGACGACTTCATGGCGACGAGCAGTGCATCCAACAGGTAGAGTGTAGATTGTACAACCGACTGGACCAGTTCCATGCGGAAGGCCTGAGGGTTGAGAACAATCTCCCTTTTCTCCACTTTAATTGATCCAGTCTGCGAGATATGATTCAAGTCACCGAGCAAACTATCTGTCCTGAGCTATCTATACACAGAGTTTGATCAACCCGGTTTGAGTTAGACACAATATGGCGACTACTGCTTTGTTGGGCAACCACTAAACAAAAGAATAGGGACTTTTAGATTTGCACGTCAACAGTTTTGACTGCAACGTGTGACGTCATTTTAAGGCACAGCGCATGCGTTACGTCGTCTCAGTCGGCGATCGAGAATGCGTCAACCTCGATTTTCCTAAATCTAGTACAATATACACATACATACATATTGATATTTATATAGCGCCTTTACATGCTCAAGGTACTAGTATGCCGCGTGCGCATAACATATACAGTTCCTCAGGTAGACAAAGGAACATGCCTTCCCTGCTATGTAAAAATGTGTAGAACAGGTGTCACATGCATATTCACCTGTTCTATACATTTTTACATATTAATAGCAGTGAAGGGATGTTCTTTTGTTGAGGGTAGAATGAGGAACTGTATATTTTGTCACCCCATTATTTCTAAGTTATTCCTTTGGTAATTGTATTGCTGTGGTGGTAGATATTATCTGTTCTTCCATCACAATCAAATTATATTTGCTGGTTTTGTGGGTACAGAATGATTAAAACTGTCTGGTTCAAGATTCTGTTTTTGATTGAACATCTGTCAAATCCGTTTCTTCAATTTTGTCAAATTGTAATTGTATTCATAATCGTAATGAGATGAAGCTACCTATGTGTTTTTACGTTGAGGCTGTTGACATGCCGCTGGGTACAGAATGATTAAAACTGTCTGGTTAAAGGTTCTGTTTTTGATTGAACATATGTAAAATCCGTTTCTTCAATTTTGTCAAATTGTAATTTTATTCATAATCGTAATAAGATAAAGCTACCTATGTGTTTTTACGTTGAGGCTGTTGAGAGGCCGCTGTCTATAAATATGACGCTACTCTGTCGCAGAAACGTCCAGTGCACCAGGACCAACAAGACGTTCGCCAAAATTCATCGGACATTTGATTCCTACAGAGCCCCATCATGTATTTCAGCATACTTGTCGTTGCGATGCTCATATCGTTTGCATCAGGTAAGAACTAACAGGAATAGTGTATAGACTTAAGTTAAAAGCAGCCAAATGGAGGTTGATCGCTCGCTTGATATTTTGGGAAGAGAGATCAGCTGCCTTGTGTACCCTACAACGGTAAACATATCAATATGACCGCAGCATCCCAGCGGGACCGAGAACGTAGGGTGGATTCGTTCTCTTGATGCAATACCTACCTGGTATCCAGGCTGCCACCGTCAGTTGCTGGCGATTGCCGACCACAACTGCACATCTTCTTGTTGTCTTTCTCCATTTGTTTCTATCCTGTGCTAATCTTTTGGCTTCTGAATATATGAGACCTGTTCATTCTGTGATATTATCAAACCACTGCTTTCTCTGTCTGCCTCTTTTTCTTTTTCCTTCTACTTGGCTTTCTAATATTTGTGCTGCTAAGGGACTCCCACTGCCACGCAGAATGTGTCCAAAGTAACCCATCTTGAGGCGGGCCAATTTGTCCAAGGAGATCTCTTTCTGCGTTTAGTTCTTGTAGAACACTGAGGTTATTTCTTTTGTCCTTCCAGCTGATTTTTAGCATTTTCCTCCAGAGCCACATTTCTGCTGCCATGATGCGATTTTCATCGGCTTTGAGCAGTGTCCAGCTTTCAGCACCATAAAGCAAAGCACTCCAAACAAGGGTTTTGACCAGTTTTATTTTCATACCGATTAAGATGTTCCTGTCATTCCAAAGTACATGCAGGTCAACCATTCTCTTCTTCGCTATAGCTATTCTGATCTTTATTTCGCTGGTACAGCTATCATCGCTGTTCTTTGTAGATCCAAGATATTTGAAGCTTTCCACATCTTTGACTGTTTCCCCGTCGATCCGGATGCTACGATCGGTATCTGAGGTTTTACCAGCAACTAGAAGTTTGGTCTTTTTACCATTTAAATGCAAGTTGAGTTTCTTGCCGGCATCGTTTACTGCAAGTGTGAGACTTTCAAATCCATCTTTGGAAGATTCGATGAGTGCTGTGTCGTCAGCATATCTGAGATTTGAGATGTTTTTGCCACCAAATTTAATGCCACAGTGCGCTATATCTGCTGCCCTCATCCCACTTTCTGTGTATGTGACGAAGAGGTATGGTGATAAGATACAGCCCTGTCTTGCACCTTTTCATATCTCAAACTCTTCAGTGTCTTCACCATCCCAGCGGATTCTAGCTCTTTGGTTTACAAAGAGAGATTGGATTAAAGTGACAAGGTGTTTTGGGAAGCCCGTATCTAAGAAGATGGAGAAAAGTTTGTTGTGGCTTACAGAATCAAACGCCTTTGAATAGTCTATGAACATAATATAAGCTTGTTGATCCATGGCAATCACATTCTCAAATAAAACTTGCAAACATACAAGCATGTCTCTGGTCCCTCTGCCTTTTCTGTAGGCAGCCTGGTCTTCTGGTTGCTCTTGTCCTAACTTTTGTTTTATTCTGTTAACAATTATCACGAGTAAGATTTTGCTGGTGTGACTGATAAGGGCAATAGTAGTGTAGTTTGAGCACAGTTTTTGATCCCCAGATTTAAACAGAACAACAAATTCCTGTATCTTCCATTCATCTGGCCGATGGCAAGAAGTCCAAATGCTTGCACACAATTTGTGGAGAAATTTGATACCATATGGTCCTGTATAGCTTTCACCAGTTCGGCTGGTATTCCATCAATTCCTGGTGACTTTCCTGCTCTGAGCTTTTTCACCGCATGTTCAACTTCTGAAAAAAGTGACACTGGTTCTTGTTCCATTATAGGGACCTTCTCTTATTTATGTGGACTCTCATCAATTGGTCTTTTGAAAAGCTCAGTTCCATATTCTTTTCAGCGATCCATTATGTTTTTCCTCTGATCTAAAATGATGCCGTTCTTGTCTTTTATACATGATTGTTGTGTCTCTCTGGGGTTGGTCTTGACTGATTAGATAGCTGAGTACATTTCTTTGGCCTTACCAGCTATGTTGAAACCGTTCACTTTGCTACATCTTTCTTCCAACCAATATGCTTTATCCTTCCTTTTCTTTCTTCCAACCAATATGCTTTATCCTTCCTTATCTTTCTTTGGATTTCTGATCATAGATTCTTGTACCTTTCTTCCTTGACTTTTGTAACTTTATCCTGTCTTAATTTGCTCTTTTCTTCAGCTAGTAAGAAAACTTCATTACTAATCCAGGGCTTCTTAGCACGTCTTGTTGCTTTACCAAGGGTTACATCAGAAGATTCTTTAAGTACTGTTTCATAGACTGTCCATATCGTCTCTGATAAAGATTCTTTGTTAGGTTCTATTTTAGAGAGATTCTTCTTGAATTTGGTTTCTGATGAGTTCAAGAAAGACTGTAGAGTTTTGGGGTCTTCAAGTGATTTTACAATTATTCTTCTTGATTTTGATATCTTGCTGACTTTAGACAGTTTGATTTGCTTCTTTGCGACTAGCAGTATATGGTCCGTATCACAGTCTGCTCCTGGGAAAGCTTTGGCATCTTTGATACTTGACTTCCACTAGCCTTTAAACAAGGCCACATGCCTGATAGACGCCGAGCGACTAAAAAGAGACTAATCGCGAAAACAGAATGAACGCCAGTGCGCCTGATCTTGATGCAATAGGTTCAATCAAAACTTACAAGCGTATAGCACCCTAACTTGAGAACCGTTAGGTTTAGGAATGACCAATATTTAAAAAAAATACTAAAACATTCTGTCACATGCACTGCTCCTATAAATCGGTATATAAGACCACATGTGCATGTAGCAGTATAGTCTGGTTCTACCGTATGAGCTATTTCTCTTGCATCTTAATATATAACTATTATTATCATTATAATCATTTCTTTAAACAAATTATTATCATTATCACTTTTATTATTGTAATTATTATCTGTATAACCTTATCGTCATCATTATCATTATTCGTATCATCAATAATGTTATTTATTGTTATTAATATTGTTATTATCATTCAAATTATCTGTATTTTTTTTTAATTGTTATTGTCATCTTTATTACTATTATTATAACCTCATTATCATCATTATCATTAATCGTATCATTAAGAATGCTATTGATCATTATTAATATTGTTATTTTTATCATAATTATTATCATTAAAATTATCTTTCTTATTATTAATCATCATTATTGTTGTTGTACACATAATCATTACTATCATAGTTATTTGACTTACTATCATCATTTTAATTATCAATATGTTTATGCGGCAGGCAATCCAGCGGATAAGCAGGTTGATGAAGGCTCCGTTTTTAATTTCGGCGAAATGTCATCCTGTGCTACTAATTCATACAGTTCTAGATACGACGGATATGGTTGCTTTTGCGGATTAGGAGGTCACGGCACCCCAGTAGACAATTTGGATGTGTAAGTGCCTCTCCCTTTTCAGTAAAATTGTTTGATTGTCATTCTTATAGATATTGTTGTATTCATTGTACTATTACTTACAACAGAATAGCAAATGAATCAACTCAAGGACTATTATAATAGCTCATTGTATTACGTATGAAAACCATGTTTTGATTGTGCGCTAATTTCAGAGGGTGACGGACGAAGTTATATCTTGTTCGAAAAGTATTTCTGTTTTCATTGTTTAGTACCTGTAATAGTGTAGTAATTTGTATTTTAATGTACCTCTTTATTGTCTCATTATAGTAACTGCATTTGTTACAGCCCAAGAGATCGACATTTTCGGTCTCGAAGACCTTCTGGCTTCTGATAACATATTGAATGTTCACTAGACCACACCCATGTTATGTAAATTGTACTACCTTCTTCATGTATTTACTCGTTATATCGGTCTTGAGGTCCACCAGTTACGTTGCTGTTGGCCTCGTGAGCCAATTAATTATATCATTACAAATTTTTATTTTCAGTTTTCTTTATGGATAACTGGTTTTCTTATAAAACTGAAGATATGGCGTACATATTCAATACTGAATGAACGCCATTAAACTATTACTAACAACAACAACAACTCGTGGGCCGTCGGACTCATATACCTTTTTGGTCTACTAAGATGACCCCACCCCTTCACAAGCCTCGTGTTTTAATGGGAATGTATCCCCCTTCTTACTATTGTTAACATCAATATTACGGTCATTTTATACAATGAGGACAATTAATGTGTTTTGTAACTGAACCTTCATCTGATCACGTCGTTTGCCTTACGATATATTTTTGATATGCCATCTTGAACATGTATAGATGAATGAATCTATCGTATCAAATAAAAGCAAAGTCTTCTCTTTTTGTATTCATTCATTAATTACAATGCCCCAACATGTCCTTGATACACTATTAGCTAAAAATGTATTTTGTATAGTATACACTCTAGGAATAAATTATTCTAGAAGGTTCTTGACTTTGCACAGTGGTTTAACAATATACCATGCTCCTTCGAGCAATACTTTTAAGTTCTGCAAGTATTCTGAAACGACGCAAATGAGCTGTTTGTAGCTCAATGGTTTTCTTTTTAATAATTTCTTTCAGTTATATTCATCCATTTAGGCATTTTTTGTTTTTGATTCTCTTTGTCTCACAAGATGCTGTCAGGTGCATGACAACTGCTACGGTGATGTGGAAGCGGCTAACGGGGAACCCTGCCCCCAGGGCACCAACATATATACCCTAGAATACACTTACGAGTGTAGAGCACCCTGGAGTTGGTTCTATAAAGCCGAAGAGCTTACCATCACCTGCGGTAAGTCTTGCGAACTCAGTTCCATTTATTTTGCTTTTTTTTGTCGTTGCTTATTTAGGATCCCAATACCAGTAATATGTCAAATGTATTCATACTTCACGAATGCTATCAAATCAATTAAAATAATATCAAATCAAATCAGATTATATATCAACATCATTATATTATCTTTTCATTCATAGAAAAACGACACAAAAGACGAATAAATCGATTAATTTATTCATTGATTAAAAAAAGTAATTTATTTATTGAAGTGGCAAAAGTTTATTTTTATCGGGGCAAGCTAAAACTTTCATCCATTTCATAAATTCTCATAATATTTATTTTTTATTTATGCCAAACTTATATCAAACTTTGAGGCGGACTTACCCTTCAATATCTCGAGATTATTAATATCATGGTATGTACGTTGTAATAAGGTGTGTGGGTTGTGCGTGCGCATGCATATGTGTGTTTGTGAGTGTGTGTGTGCGTGTGTGTGTGCGTGTTTGTGAGTGTGTATTTGCATGTGTGTATGTGCGTATGAGCAAGTGTATGTGCGTATGAGCAAGTGTATGTGCGTAATGGGGAGAGATAGATGGACAGGGCGGGGTGGTTCCAAGTATGATGGGGGATGGGGTGGTCTGGGGGTCGTCAGGGGTGGGGTTGGATAGATGAGTGATAGACGTATGAGATTGTTTTTTATATATATACATATATATATATACATATAATGCAATTTCTTTTCTAGAGTTTGTTGAATGGAAGCACAACAAATAATATTCAAAACAAAACCATCGATCAGATATGACTAAGTACATGTACTTCTCAACCCAGGTGATGTAAATGGGTACCTGGCAGGAATTAATTCCTTAAAATGGTAGAGCGCCGTATTGGCAACAAGGCTAAGACCGGGGTAAAAATCTCCAAAATTTGTTAAGCCCCCCCCCCCCCCCTTGAGCATCCCTTCGGGTGGATATGTGCGCATTATAAATGTTGTTATTATTATTATTCTTGGATCAACCTTTAAAGTTACCATGCGAAAGACGTTATTCGGTTTCGAAACTTGGTCCTATCAGGGTCAGCTTGTAGACGAAGAAAGCTAGATACCTCACCATAAAATGCACATTGCCGATAGACCAACCACCATCTCCTAAATGTTATAAATCATTTTCTTATTTTCAGATGCTGAAGCCAATGACGGATGTGCGCAAGCATTGTGTGAGTGTGACAAGACGGCATCTCTGTGCTTCGCGGCGAACGAATATAATGATGAGTACGCCAGCTACGACAAGGAGAACATGTGTACAGCCTAAATAATCGACGGGGTAGACTATTCATTGCGCACAACATTCACATTAGCAGCCCTATAGGGCTGAATTACAATAGAAAATACGGAAAGGCTATAAGATATGCATGGCAAAGAATAGATCAGCAAACTATATAATTTTGTCAGTAAAGCATCAATGACGTTATTACGAATATTTTCTTTGGGAATAAGAAAAAAAAGTAGGAAATTGAATGTAGAAAAGCTAGAACAATATATTTTCATTCTCAAGATTGAATCTTTAGTTTTAGAGAGAGCAAACCAACATAAATATACATCATTATAGTTTATTAAAAAGAGAAATCGTCATCTTATAAATCATTTATTTTCTTTTCACGGGTTAACAATGATTTCGACAGTTAAGTGTATTACAGTATTCTTACATTACTACTTTAGCACTAGTTATCTGATTATATGGAATTCGTATTTGAAAGATATCGAACTTTAGAATAAAGATAGAACGATTTTAAATTATAAGAGGATACATGTGACATTTTCTTGATGGAATTCGCATGAAATTTGAAATGAGTATGATCAAATATTACTTTATTGGGTAAAGTTCACTCCACTAATTACAGTTTACTTGCATAATAATGATCACACCGAACGATTACTCCTAAGGTTAAAAAAAATGAAAGCATGGGGTACGACAAAAGAAGATTGTTGATCGAACTGAAATTGTGTTTTTCGAGATTTCGTCGATTTTGTGCAATAAAGTGAATTATACTCTCAATTCAAAAAATTGTGCAGTTTGATTATTGTACTAAGAAATTAAGTATGCGTAATCGAGATCAGCATTGTAATGATCTATACATTTCTTACCATGTGATGGCAATCAATGAATATTTAATCAGTCATATTGGATAAAGTCGTTTCATTTGAAATTGAAGACTTTTTTCTCAAATAAATCAGCCTTTATTCCGATTATACTACACAAGTTTTAAGAGTAAGGATAGGTCTAGGTCACGTTGCTCATGTGCTAAATGTGCTTTATATTTACATGATGAATTTTTACATTTTTCAGGATCGATTAGGATGAATGATGGTGGGGTGTGGTGGAGTGAGAGATTGGGAGGGTGTGCGCGTGTGTATTCACGTGTGCTGTAATGTACCTAATACAACTGACGCATTGGCTAAGTGATTTTGCTTGCATGTCTGGTGTGTTGCAGCCAGAAACGAGAGAAAGATGGAAACAGAAAGAGACACAGACACACAGATATACAGAGAGACTGTGGTTGGCATATAGTGGGAAAGAATTAATGCTGTATTAGTAGGGAGAGAGAAGTACACGCAAACTAAACTAGAGTTGTCGAATTTGGGTGTGATGAGCCGCAATTGAAGAAAAAAAAATCTTATCCTTTATCGGACTATTCTGTAAATTTCAATGTATCTGTTTTCTTAAATTATATCAAAGTTAAATTTTGTCATTTTCCTGGAGTAGACTTACGCCAACAAAGAGGTGGGCATGACTGACCAGAACACTTTGAGCAATCTATTGTATCTGTAAAGGGTACACATATAAAAGAAAACAAAATGTGTGTAAATATAAAGTTATATCTACAAAAGTAATAACACAATCTGTAGGCCTATCTAGGTTGGAGAAAAGAGTGACATAGCCGGAAAATGAGAGGGGGGACGAAAAGTTCACCGGGGAGGGGCCCCCCAAGGAAAGGAAATGCCATAGCTTTCCCACCCCCTCCACTAAATCAATGGCGCTGTTAACTTGTATATCATCCAACGAGTAAGGCAGATGCTCCCCGCGCCATGATACACCCCCACACACACACACACACACACACACACATACATCACACGACACTGACATAATAATAGAAAGTAAAACAATGGTTAAAGTCTTCTACATTTCAGGATGTACTCAAGTGCTTGCTTAATGGTAGAATATAAAGAAAAAGTAAATCATTGCGTGGTACTAAACCGTAATAACAAAAACGAGAAGTTCGACTATTTCAAGTCACGCATGATGCCCCCCCCCCCCAATAACCAAAACACTAAAAAGTAACCTCTTTTGGGATTGTATTTTAAGTGATTTTAAAGTATGATGCCTTTTGAACTAGATTTAAATGTTATCAACCCGTGCCTTCATTTAAACAAAAAAAGTACTCCTGTTCACGTTTCATCTAACCTAAAAACCACCAATTTATTACGCGACTGGAGTAACGTGATTCCACTTTACCTCTGTAAATCAAGTGTTTATGACCAAATAACCACTTGACCAAGCAACGAGTTTTTTGTCCGTTAACCGATGGTGGTGATAAATAAGTAATTATTTTAAAATGGTAATCAAAGTTGCCATAAGTTCCGCGGTGATGATCTCGTGACTCAAAAGGATTATAAATCTAAGCTGGCATACGTGACTTTTAGTTGTGAAAAATTAGTAATTATTAGGTGTCTTAAAACAGCTTTTTAAATGGTTTCAAAGTTAACATAACTTTCTTGGTGATGATCACGGAGCTAAAACTGATTATTAATCTAAGCTGTGAATCCGTGATATTTAGGTGTGAAAAATAAGTAATTATTAGATGTCTTAAAACACCTATTTAAATGGTAGTCAAAGTTGCCATAAGTTCCGCGGTGATGATCTCGTGACTCAAACGGATTATCAATATAAGCTGGGTATTCCGTGATTTCCAGGTCTGAAAAATGAGTTATCTTGGGTATCTTGATGGTTTCACAGTTACAATTTAAGTTCCGTGGTGATAATCCCGTGACTGTTGGCATATTTATATTTTCACCAGTTGATAACTGACTGTTGGCATCTTACCAGTTGCACCAGTTGATGACTGACTGTTGGCATATTTCCAGTTGAACCAGCTGACACCAATTAATTTGCATATTGAATATGGGGTGCGTGCAGATCTATGTGTTTTTATAATAATAATAATAATATTTAAGATTTATATAGCGCTGGTATACAAGTACAGTTTCTAAGCGCTTTACAAAACAAGTGAAATGAAAAGTACGGTTAAACTAAATATGTGATAAGGATCAACAAGAAACATGAAATAAACAATGCGCTTAATTTGGACGAATTACTTAACTAACAATGTATAACAATAACATGATAATGAAAAATGAAAATGTAAATACAATAATTAAGTATCATTAATGAAACTGCAATAATTATGTACATTAGACAATAAATAGATTACAAGAAGATAGGCCATGTGGTTATAAATACGGTATGATGATGGACAATTACTTCGTGTTGAATAGATAGGTCTTAAGTCTACGTTTAAAAGTGTCAAGAGTTGGGGAGTCACGGACAGAGACGGGGAGATTATTCCAGAGTTTAGGAGCACATACAGAGAAGGCACGATCTCCATAGCGGGTGTGAGTTCGAGGACCAGATGATAGTTGAAGATGAACAGATGATGATGAGCGGAGCCTGATGGAGGAGGTTTGCACCTTTGGTGAAATGAGTCCATTGATGTATACTGGAGCAAGTCCATTACGGGCCTTGTAGGTGAGAAGCAGTACCTTGAATTGGATGCGCTGTGGAATGGGGAGCCAGTGAAGAGAACGAAGAATAGGTGTTATGTGTTCGTACTTTCTTGTGCGTGTGAGGAGACGGGCTGCAGTGTTCTGGATGTGTTGGAGTTTGGTCAGATGTGAGCTGGGTAGATTTATCAACAGGCTATTACAGTAATCAATGTGTGATGTCACAAATGCATTTATTAGGCGCCCAGTAGAACTTTGGTCTAGGTACTTTCGGAGTTTTCCGATCCGGTAAATTCCAAACGAAGCGGCTCTGCATGATTTCTGAACATGTTGCTTCATGGTAAGTTTGTCATCCACTCCGACTCCGAGATTAATAGACGATTTTGATGGATTGATTGTATTAAACAATTTATCTTAATTTACAGCATATTTTTTAATTAATTATGATTTAGTTATATGCAATTCATTTCGAAAATACTACAAATATAAATTACCAGTTATTAGGACATTTCGCTACTTCGTATAAATTACATTTGATTAAACATGTGTCATGGAATGACTCTTTTCTTGTTCTGAAAGTTATGATAAAGACTTGTGACGAGACTAGAAGAAATAGTTCGGAGAAGAAGGGGAAGACGATAGTTGTTATCTACGTAATAGCAGTTCGCTTACAGCGACGAAAGTCGCCAACAGCGACGACAGTCGCCAACAGTTTAGCAGTTTGCTTGCAGTTCCAGCATTTCTATGTTGAGATGGGAACATATTAGATAATCCTTAAGGTATGTTTTATTCATTGAGTTATATGTCTTATAATAGAGTGCTGTAAAATGCCACTGAAAGTAGTTGCAAGTTATAGAGATTACAGTCACACTATATGGAAGCGATAGCCTATATGAATGTGTGTAGTGACGTGAAACGAATAGCGAACATGGATTCGTTGAAAGTTTGATTGATAGTTTAGACGGTCTTTTGAAGTCCTTTTCCTTTGTGAAAAGATAAAGTAGTTTAAAATTGATGGTAGACTTCGAATAAGTTAAGACCAAACTATGTTTACTTGCGTATGTACGCGTGAAGGTACAGTATCTTAGTTACGAGAACCTCTTCACGCACGATTTAATGCGCGGATGAATATCGTTTTAGAGATAAGGTGATAAGTTAGTTAGTCTCGTTTTAGGGCTTGAGAAAGTTTCTTGTTTGTGTTATTGATCATTCTTTTGTCTATGGTTATGCATTTATGCTTCTTTAAAAATTTGTGGTTTATCGAAAGTTGGCATATTATTTTAACTATAAAGTTTAGATTTACTAACACAAGAATGGAACTTGAGTATATGTGGAAATTGGATTCCTAAGTGTTAAACGTATTGCAAGAACATGTATTTAGTGTTTTCATTTGTTGTATTTTTGCAGGAATTATCCCACACAGTTGTTGAATCTCATTTCACTTTCTAATGATTTGTGTTTAAAATGTAAATGTTCAAAATCTAAATGTTACGAGAAAAGGAAATGAAATAATTTGTCCTTTATCTCTTTGTTATCTTCTTTTTTCCCCAAATCATCCATGTATATAAATTCGATTTATTTTATGTCTGATGTGCAATATATTGAAGGTTCCATTATTATTATTGTTAATTAATTCCTTGAACTAATTTGTAACCGTTTCTATATTGATGTACATGTATTTTTAATTTCTCCTTATTTCTTTGAGCTTTGTAATCTTTGTTTGTATCAGTCTCCTAACTGTTTTAACATGGAATTTTGACAAAACCAAAATGAATGAATGGAAAAAAAAATGAATGAAATCCACGACAGCGTCACAATAAAGGAACCAACATGAGTTAACCGGATGTCTCCTTTGTTTCATCATTGAATTGCAACAACGTGTTTAAGCTAGAATTAAGCTTATTCCATCACACCTGAATAAGGGAAACATTAACTATGAACTAAAATTATATCAATAAAATACAAGTATATGAATAAATTTCGACTAATTAGATTATGTAAGTCTACTTATTACCAATGCCTTTACATTGGAAATACAGACGTACCAGTATAGAAGTGTTGTTGCCGTTCAACTGGTTGGAAGTTTTACCAAATGGTTCTAATGGCTCAGCTAGAATTGAATTCTAACTGGCCTGGATCAACTGGATCATTTAGCCCTTTTCAATTTCCAGGGTTACCAGTTGGCATTAACTGGTTCAGTTGCAACTAGCTTTCTCTTCTGGGATGTTTGCACCCCCACCCCCTCTAATCCCAAACTGCTTCCGGCGCGCCTGGACGTAATTATGGAAGAAGCGGGATTAGAACGTCATTATTTTGGTTTATTTATTGTGTAACAATTGCGTAATTATTGGATTGAACGCGGGTAACAGTAACATATTTGCTCTTTGACGTAAATTTCACGTGAATGAAGAACATGATTCATCTCAAGTCAGCCTCGTAATATTCATGTGAATTTCACGCAGATATTTTGACTAAAACTATCACTAACGCTTCACGTGTTTCTGTGACGCGATAATTTCGTTTATGAAGATGTATTTTCATAACCAAACAAACATGGGAGTATTAGGTTTACAAACCATGATCTCCAAGGTAGGGATAATCACAGGCGCGTACTAGGGGGGGGGGGGGTTTGGGGGTTTGGGGGGTTTAACCCCCCCCCCCTTTGGTACTTTTCTGTATGTAAACCCCCCATCACCCCCTGAACCCCCCCCTAGGATTTTTTTGTTTTGTTTTGTTTTCATTTATAAAAAAAAATATGTATATTCCCATGGCTGACCTAAAAAAACTGACTTTACCCCCCCCCCCCCAACGGAGCAAAATGTCAAATTTTTAAATTTCGAGACCAAAAAAAGAAAAAGAAAGTGTCCTCTTACCCCCCCCCCCCCCTTCTTATTAAAGATGTTACGTCACCATTCAGTCACTAGCAAAAGATTGCAATTTTGATTAATGGAATATTTAATTGTGTCCCTAGTAAATCCTTCCGTCTTTCAGTACGGTAAAATGACACACTTACAATTAAAAAAGTAATTTGATTGATTTTGGCGAAAATTAGGATGAAAATAGCATGGGAATAAATTAGGGATATTTTTCCTAGTCATTTTGTAACTTCAAGCTATAATTAAAATTCTGCTCGTTCAATTATAAAGCCATGAGTGAAATACTGTACGGCCATCCTTATGGTTCAAGGCATGGTCACGCAGAGGATTTTTTTTCTGTTGGGGATCGGGGGAAATGCAATGAATTATTGATAATTTATTGCATTTTCTTTGTGTTTTTTTATTTTATTTATGGGGGCTGCTCCCTACCCTGGCCCCTGCTTCGTGCAGTCATGATTTAGTGGCAAAGCCATGCATAAAGTCTTACGGCTATGGCTGATTGTCAACGAAACGGAGTTAAGTCTTTTATTAAGTCTGATTGTTGTTACGGCGGGCAGCCAGTGAAAATGAATTCGTTTTAATGAAATTATGGAAATGAAAGCACTACTTTAGGCACACAGAACTTTGTTACTCCTACCTCTTTTTTCCTGATTGAGGTGTCATATGAAATGGCAGAAATTGAACTTTCTAGAAATGTGGTTTTCTTTTTTTTTAATTCAGATACCGTCCGCCAAATGACATTTTGGTTCCCTTGTTCCCTCTCCTCAAATTAATTTTAATCAGTCATGCGTGAAATATGCATTATACGAGTAGCATTAAATAAAAAGAGGGGATCTAAGCTTAAAAATATGTGTCATTTATTAATTATAATTGTGATTAAATTATGATAAAACATCGATGATTCTCGGTTTTGTTTTTTCTGGGACGCACTGTATATAAAATTTTTGAGATATATATATATATATATATATATATATATATATACATACTCTTAACAATTGATATAAAATACATTGGAAGTTTAATTTATCTCCATTACCGGTTTCAGTTTATTTGATCAGATAGTGAATTAAAAAATTAAAACATACAAATTAGTGCACTAAACTATACACAAATAATGCGTACGGGCGCATTGCGTAAAATGGCGTATTTTGGCATAGATTACATCATAGTCAAAATCATGTAAGGTCAACCTTCATCTCCATTTTCATTTAATTATAATGTGTATTTTGTTAAAGGAGAAATAAACACACAGAACAATTTGGTTGTTTTGAGAGATTTATTGCATTTTTGCCAATCAATCTACAAGATTCCCCACCAAAGTGTATGAGAAAGGCATGAAGTAAGAATAAAGTACAGTTTCTCAGCAAGACATGGGCATTGCTATTTTCTTGATTGTATGACGTACTATGCGGAGTATTTTATAAACAAAATGTATTTATATTATGCATGCTTCCCTTCCATGTGTTTGTGGTTTTGAAGCATTTCATTCACCTGCTATTACCCTTTGTACTCCAATTGCCAGAACACAAATTTTATAAATAAGTTGGTGTTGTTCTGAGGAGAAGGTTTCGCATAAATGAAATTGATTTTTCAAATAAATGATTTACAATTTATTGTTACCTTAAAATATATTTTCATCAAATTAATTTTTACTTTCTCGGCTATGGTTTTCCCTCGTTGAAAAGTAAAGGTTTTGTAAATGAATTAAAAATTCTTTCAATTTAAGCTTGGTGCATGATACATGTACAACTCCAACTGGTACGTCACATTTTCAAGTAAATGGCTGCGCCCATGTCAGGCATAATATAATGCCAAGATATCTCATTCAGGCACGTACGCAGGGGGGGGGGATGAACCCCCCCCCTTTGGTTTTTTATGTGTGCGAACCCCCCTAAAAAACCCAAACCCCTCCCCCTTGTTTTGTTTGTTTGTTTATTTTTTTAATTATAAACAAATCAAAAAAAATATTCCCATGGCTGACCTAAAAAAGATGACCTTACCCCCCCCCCCCCAACGGAGAAAAATGTCAATTTTTCGAATTTCGAGACCAAAAAAGTGTCCTCTTACCCCCCCCCCCTCCCCTCCCCCTCCCCCCCCCCCCCCGCTCATTCAGCGGCCGGCTGAGTCGTTGCGAAATTTTCGGCCCGATTTAAAATTCTGCGTACGCGCCTGGTCTCATTTATATATCTCTTGTACATGTGCGTAAGGTTTAATGTACATCAAAAGGCAGGAATTCATCTCGTTTCACAGAATATCTACACTCATTCTTTGGGGTTAGTTCTCCCTTTGAATCAGCAAAACTACTTATATGATACATATATTAATATCATACATATATTAGGCATACATATCCATACAGTAACTAATCATTCACTATGTTGACATAACACTTGTTCAGCTCTGGCTGCCAAAAAATTATGAAATAATTTTCTTTGGTATATCTTATGTTTCGTTTTATTTTATTTTCCCACATTATAAAAAGGCATCACATCAAACTCTAGATTCTACTATTACAATTTAATTTCTGGATGAGCATAAAAAGTTATCTTTTAATTCGAACTTATTGTTAAAAATGCATACAGTAATCGCATCATTCGAATTTTTTGTTCTTACTTCTCATTACTGTTAAACAAGATTTTACACTGTTGATCGATAGTATTTGAAATATTTACATTATTGGGATCGTATGAAGATAGTAATTACAAACAGCATATCTTCTTTTCAATTTTCTTTTTTTGTTTTGCCTTTATTTTTGTCCTCCATTTTACGTCCTCTTTTGTATATCTACTTTAATGCGATTTTCCGGATATTTCCGAAGCATAAGCATGGATTCCAATTCTTTAGATTTTCTTTCATCTCTCACTTCCTCGTTCCATTGAATTGTACAAATTCTTCTAGCCAGATAATATGGTATATTTATTTTGGAGTGGCGTGGATAGTAGCAGACAAGATACAAATGTTGAACAGTGTCAGTTATTTATTATGTACCTCCGTCTCCAATTTCATATTTAGGTTCAAATGCAGATTCTGCAGAATATCGCAAATACTCTCCATACCTTTTTTTTCCATATGAGAAAATCAATCATCGAGGTATCATAACCAATGTTTTTCCACTTATAATCCACCTTCGAAATATAAAAGAAAAGTATATACATATTTGTTTTCCTGATTTATCCATTGGTTGGATTAAGCATACGACTTTTTATTGTTTGTATGTTCATTAAACATCTTTGTGTTCTATAAATACATCTTTAATTAAGAATAATTGAATAAAGCGCGGGGGGGGTGCATTTTTAATTAGTGGTAGCAAAACTAGAACACTGAGATGGTTTATTCTTTGAGTAAATAACTTCATGAAACTTTATGTAAATTTAACGTTATGAATCATCAGCTGCTATATGAAATTATGATTAGTATAATAATTCTTATGATAGTAAAAAAAAGATGACAATTTATATTTTTATTAATCACTCTGTTCAAATGAGGCATGTATTAGAACCACACATATTGTTATATACATCTTAAGACAATCATGGTCGGTGAGATTCGTAACACACACACACACACACTCAAACACATCACGCACACGCTATCGTCGTACGTCATATTGTAGATTTTCTAGACTTATTATACATCACTGAATACAATAAAAGTATCGATTTCTTGATTGAATTACACATTAAACTCATTATGTAACGTATACCATCACCTCTCATACTTAAACATGAGTCTGTCCATCTATTCTAATAGTAACATGATCATGATGAACCAAGCCAAAGCAGCAGTATATCCTACGAATTATGTTCATATGAAAAGAGATAATGTAGCATTTCAAGCCAATAACATTATTCAATATTGAAGAGCTGACACAAATTACTTCATTACGACAGTAATATGTTCAAGATTCATCTTTGAATTCCCATTATTCCACTTATTGTAGCTTAAAACGTCTAAGAAACTAACCCTTTTTGTTGCAAGTGTATTAAAAAAAAGAGAGAGTTCATATTTCAGTTATTTTATATCGTTGCCCATGTATCAACATTTTTGTTTTCGCTTCGTTTTGTTTTTTCCTTTGATTGTTAGTAATATTTTTTTTTTTACAGATTAAGAATGACATTTTATGCTTTAGCAGTTGAAAATAGTTCCAAGGCAAAGGAAATGACGAACGCAGACTCGTCATTTGACTGCCAATGTAAAGTTAATTTGAATTGTATACTTCGTTATATGATAACATTCTCAGATCAATTGCATCAGTGCGGTAGGGATACTCCAGGAATAGATTGTTTGTGGATAATCCCCCCCCCCCCGTTCCTCCAAAAGATATATAGATTGAAGCCACTCTTTGAAAAATTACTCAACTAATAGACTTTAGGCTTATTAACAAGAATCGTTTCAAGTATCTGCGTTATTGCTCATTTTATACCTCTTTGAGGGATACCTAAACATAAGAAAGGCCGGATAATTGTGGTGCTCTCTGTGACGTAGTGGCGCGGGCAACTTTCCAATCTATTCCAACATAAATATCAGTGTTTAAAATTTTAATGTTTCAAAAATGCATGAATCAAAAGTGTGTTTTTTTTTCTCTATGGAGGACTTATAATAATATTCTATCATACTATTTTCTGTAGTGCCCAAAGTAAGAAGGCACTTGGGAGAAAAACTGAAATTAATGATATTTTTGTACGCGGCAAACGAGAGAGTTATCCGCGACGACGTCACAGTGCACTGACCAAACTGCCAATTTGAAATTTATATAGACTTAGTGATGTCATATTAAAAAACTCCGAACTTTCTTATCATTGTTCCCATTTTTTGCAAACGTTTGTCAATTTCTTTATCCTATTTTCTGCTTGTATACAAAAGATGTCAATACGAAGGTTGGATTGCCTCTTAAGATTCTACGCCATGATTCATGAAAGCTCGCGGCGGGAAAAAGAATAATCCTCGAACATATCGCGGCGCACGTCTGGGGTGATTCTATACGCTCCATCTTATTCCTTTTATTAGGTCTTACATAATTATGCTGTGTTAATTCGGTGGTGGCAGAGGATCGGATTGTCCACCCTGTAAGGCGTAATATGAGGGAGGACTTGGTAGGGAGTCGGTTTGAGATGCTGGAGGATAGGGATTCGGTGGTTGTTGCGGTAGGGAGTCGGTTTCAGTTGCTGGAGGATAGGGATTCGGTGGTTGTCGCGGCATCGGTGGCTAAGTCGGCACGGATATCATGCCATTTGAAGTGGGAGCCGCAGAGGTGTTATTAGCGGCAGGATATCAACTCAGAGGTGATGAGAGGGACCTGATCCGATTGCGTAGGAATGACGGCCGGCTTACGCTGGCTGCAGGTGTAACATACAGCTACGAGAGCAAACAGTGTCAGCAAGGACAAAGACACACCAACAAAAGACATGATGCCCACGACACCTGAAGAGGTAGCGGGTGAACCTGCAGCACAAAAAATGGATTATAAAGAAAAGAACATACAAATATGAATTTCCTCATTTTAGTATAGATGGCATTCTCATTTTAATATACACAGAAATTCAAAAGTTCATCCTCCCCAATAAGATTTATATTTGTGTAGAAATTGCAACACAAAAAGAGTGTCATACGTGGTCGAAAAAATAATTTGAGGTTGTTTATACGATATATCTGCCTGTCTCCATCCTAGTAATTTCTTGCCTGAATAGAGTGCTGCTCAGTTACTACGAATTCTTCTTGTTTTGATGTTTTACACCATGGCTAAGAGCGAATTTGGAAAGGGTGATCTACTTCAGATTCTCAAGTTAGTGCTCTAGCTATTGCATTACGAGAAACTGAAGAAAACAAAAACAGTCAGGAGAAGGCCAAATATCTGAGCAGAAGTGTACGATAGGTTGGGAAATGGAGGCAGCGACACAAGCATGGTGATTCTCTTGATGACAAGCCCAGATCAGAGCGGAGTTCCATGGCCAACAAACTGATCTGCAAGGCTAAGGTCAAAAGGTACCAGGCCTACAGCAGACAATGACAAATCTTGGAAATGTTTTGAAAGCCAAGGTACGGTGTATCCGGTTCTACAAACGTTTGAAACTTCCACGATTCACCAATTTGCAGAAAGACACGAGCTTGGCCTTTGCGAGTACATACATGTTACAATCACACTATCAGACTGGGAGGATGGGTAGCCTATTATCTAATGAATGTCCTCTGCACCTGTTTCCCATCTCTCTCAATGGCGCTTTCTACGTCAAGGTATCACAATTAATGCACAGTTCAATTCGTAAACAACATCTTGCAGCAGACATTGCTCCATATCCTGGGTAGAAAGCAATTAATCAGAACCCGTTACACCAAGGAAATGGTTAACAAGCAGCCTGAAATGGTGTTGGTTCACGATGGTGCACCTGGTCATACTTCTCTAGTGACTAAGCAGTAGAGTGCCGAATGTCGACCAACGTCCAGGATTCTTAAAAAGGAGGAATGGACACCCACCTCTCTAGACTTGAATCTGATCAAACACTGCTGGGGAATCCTGAAAGGCAGGTTCTAATGCGTAATCTACCTGAACCATCACGAAACAGCTCATCTCCAATGCAACAACGAATATGTGTTACAAAATAGCGCCATCTGGTACAATATATGCCAGAAATACTGAGGCTGTTGTCAAGAAAAATCGAAAACAAAATGGCTTTTGAAATAATTAGATCTGCACCCGCAACTCTTACCATGAAAAATGAGAATCATCAGATAATGGCGATTTAAAAAAAAACATGTATGGATTTACACTTCCAGCTATTGTATGTAGTTAACGCTCTTGACAGACTTACGACATTGCACTCCGGCATCTTCAGAATGGCCACAGTAGTTTGAGCCCCATTCTTGATGACTACAGTACTCCAACCGTGCTTCATATCCCGAACAGGTGACATCATCAAGGAATATCGGGTCAGATCCTCCTCCGTATGTACTACCACTCGTGGCTATACCAACATCACCTGAGTATCCAAGCTGTCGACAAACTACCCTCGCGTCAGAGTCATCCCAACTGTCATGACATACTGTCCCCCATTGACCTTCATGGAAGATCTCAACCCTGCCTTCATCTGAACTGAACCCATCAACCATGCGGACGTCTCCTTCCAAATCATTGTCTGCAGGATCAAAACATAAACACAAAATCATCATCAGAAGTGGTAAGATTATGACAGGTAATGCAAGAAAAATTATCATTTGGAGTAACCTGTACCTGGGAAAACAAAATCAACCTGAATCATTGTAAGTTGATTCTAAAATTGCTGTCATTATTATATTGTGAGCTCGTTCAATTTTGTTAATAAAGATTTTGTATAGGCCTATGTTGTATCGCTAAAATGTGATTGGATTTGTATGTTTTGCATTACGTGCATGTTTTGCAAAAGAAAATAATTCAATTCAATTCAATTACCCTCAAGTCTCTCCTCCCGATATAACTGATTGGGGTCAACAAATAGTACACCAGGGTTCCCCCTACTCCTTTTCGAAGAGTGCTTTGGGTTCTTAACGTGAAACGATGGTGACATTCCTCTACACGAGGCCTACTTTTTACTTCCTATCCGAGGGTAGGTGTGTTTTCCACTATAACATAGCGTGTAGCTATGAAACAGAGGAGGGGCTCATTAGCGCACAAGACAATCTTTAGTCATCCCCACGGGTTGGGTTTGAAGCCACGATCTTTGGACATGTTGGTCCGAAAGGCAGATGCTTTACTGACTATTATATACCAACTCGCCTCCTCAATGCCTGCTTTGTATTGTTTGCGACTTACCATTATTGTCATAGCAGTAAACTCCTGCATCTTCGCTGTGAGAACAGTCTTCAATGCCCCATCCGTCGTGAGTACAGTACTCCAATCTACTTTCATATCCCGAACAGCCGACCTCGTCAAGATATGTCGGTTCAGATCCTTGTCCGTATGTACCACCAGTCCTGGCTTCACCAACATCACCTGAGTATCCAAGCTGTCGACAAACTACCCTCGCGTCAGAGTCACCCCATCTGTCATCACAGACTGTCCCCCACAGGGAATTGTGGTAGATCTCAACCCGGCCTTGGTTTGGAGTGGATCCACCAGCAAGTCGGACATTTCCTTCATCGGGGTCTTGAATGGAATTATAAAAGAATGGGAGATTAACGAAAGGGAATAGTTTTTCAATATATATGTTTACAACTAAATTATTCACACCCTTACCAACTTTTGTAATTGTTGAAGAATGTGAACATTGAATAGTTCCGATTTTTGTTTCTTGAGGAGGCGACATAAAAAGCTTATATATTTTTTTTTTTCACAAAGGGCCTAATTCAACCAGCTCACCTTTTATTGAGGAGTTACGAAAAACATCAAATTAAATCATTCAGTTGTTAACAGTACATTTCGACTATTATGCATTTACTGCAATCCCGATGTGAGAACATAGTTCGTGCAAGAAATCAAACCTTTTACCAAATGTCAAATCTCATTCTCACAGGTATAAGAGTCATAACAAGAATCAGTGTCTGTGAAATGGTGTAATATTGAAGCCCTAAAAAAAATCGCGCTTCAAAATGATCAAGAAGTGCCTCAAAATAGTAAAAAATCTTGGAGTGACCGGTTTTACCATACTCATTTTCCCTAATAGACTGTTGTGTTAATCATCTTTGATTCATCCAAATCGGTTTAAAGACGGCTGAAACATCCATAAATATAATGATTTCTAATATATTCAATAATTTGAACCAGCCGTTTACAAGACGAGATTTTACGTTTTATTCCAGCCAATGCCGATTTTGGCTATTTATTGGCCTTTTCGTGTGGGTTAATCCTAACCCTATAACAAAGCGTGTATATATGATAAAAGGGAGGGGCAAATTAGCACACAAGACAGGCCCCACGCGTTGAGTTTGAAGCAACGATCTTTGGACATGTTCGTCCGACAGGCAGATGCTTTACCGACTATTATATACCAACTCGCCTCCTCAATGCCTGCTTTGTATTGTTTGCGACTTACCATTATTGTCATAGCAGTAAACTCCTGCATCTTCGCTGTGAGAACAGTCTTCAATGCCCCATCCGTCGTGAGTACAGTACTCCAATCTACTTTCATATCCCGAACAGCCGACCTCGTCAAGATATGTCGGGTAATATCCTCTTCCGTATGTACCACCACTCCTGGCTTCACCAACATCACCTGAGTATCCAAGCTGTCGACAAACTACCCTTGCATCAGAGTCACCCCATCTGTCATCACAGACTGTCCCCCACTGGTAATTGTGGTAGATCTCAACCCGGCCTTGGTTTGGAGTAGATCCATCAACAAGGCGGACATCCCCTTCATCGGGGTCTTCAACGCAATTATAAAAGAATAAGAAATTAACGAGGGTGCATAGTTTTTTACATATACATGTTTACAACTAAATTACTCACACCCTCACCAACTCTTCTAATTGTTGAAGTATGTGAACATTGATTTGTCCCGATTTTTGTTTCTTGAGGAGGTGACATATAAAGCATACATTTAATTTATTCTAATAACAAAGGCACTAATTAATCTAGCCCACCTTTTATTGAGGAGTTACGAAAAACACAAAAAACACAAAATTTGCAAAGAACAAAAATGATTCAGTTGTTAAAAGTACGTTTAGACTATTATGCATTAACTGCTATCCCGATGTGAGAATATAGTTCGTGCAAGTCATCAAACCTTTTTACTAAATGTCATATCCCATCCTTACGGCTATAAGAGTCATAACAAGAATCAATCTTTAATTATTGGAAAGAATTAAAAGGAAGCCATAAGCTTTTGTAAATATCTTAATAGACATGTGCTATTATCTGGCCCCTTTTTACCAACCAATAGTTTCTCTTCCTGTAAATGTAATTATTGTATAAAATGTATGAAAATGTATCGCTGTTGGTAAATAAATCAAAATCAAAAAAAAAAAATCAAATACCCTTATTTATACACAAACCTATGAACCGGGACCTACATAAAACAAGTAGATCCCCCACTTTATTGATTGATTTATATGATTGTATTCTCTGTTATAACTATTATCATGTACATTATGTTTTCAATAATGTATGTTTAGTTATAATAATTACCATTGTTCAATATGTTCAATTATGTTATTTTTGATAAAGTGAAATAAATAAACTTGAAACTTGAAACTTGAAGTTATAACTGCGTAATATTTATCAATGAAACATGCGGTCATTTCGTATCGGACAAAATATAGAAGAAAGAGATGGACGACGAAAACTGCTATCAGCTTGATCTTTTGTGCAATATCATAACAATTGCGTAATTGTAAATTCATTATATGAATAACCGCAGTAACCCTACATGTACGAAACCTTCTGTTTTTATTTATGTAGGGAGAGTAAAGAAAGGTATCGTTGTAGGATATATTGCATTCGAAAATAGGTTGGGCCATTTTTCATTACTGTGCCAGTAGCCGTGCCTTCCTACCTGTGACCATGTAGCCTTGCAATTGTACGCCTATTTGGAGACAACGCTAAATTTCAAACAGCTTGGGGTATAAAATTACTTTAAGGCAATTTTAGGTCCTAGAAGAGCACTAGTAATGTCTAAAATAAGAATAAGAGCAATGAAAATGCACTTCTAAGGCATTTGCGGTCCTAAACAAGAACTCAACTATCCCTTTAAATGTTTTTAGCTTACCACATTCTACAGCCGCATCTTCGCTGTGACCACAATTATTTTGTCCCCATTCATGAGAGCAAGAATCAAGACGATATTCGGTCCCGACGCAGTAGGTCCCGTCAAGATGGATAGGACCTGACCCAGGACTGATAGCTGTATACCCGCGAGCGTTGATGGTTCCTAAACCTAGCTGTCGACAGACAACTTGTGCATCGGAGATGTCCCATGTGTCATCACAGATAGTACCCCACTGGTTATCGTGGTATATCTCGACCCGCCCTCGCCCATTCTGGGCGCCATCGCCAAGGCGTACATCCCCCTCGAATTCTGATCCAAAAAAGATAGAAATCGAACAAAAATGCATCGATAATTACTACGTCAAACCATCAAAAACATCAAGAACATTTATATAGACGACAACAAAGAACAGAAGTAACTGAGATCAATGGTTATAGTAAGAAGAAAAACGATTTTGTTTACTTCTCCGCTGTTACGATTAAAAATGCACTAAAATACTGTAATAATGTATGTGTTCAAATTATTTCTTCTTCTCGAGTCACTCCACCACAAGGTTCACTCTTAGGTGGATTGTCTCAATCCATTGTTGGATACATTGTATCGCGCAGGTGGGGTCAATGGTTCTGGATCTGCATAGGTGCAAGGGCCTAGTAGTTGTGGATAGGCTAGGAGATGTTACACAGTCTGCTCCTCTTCACATAGGTAAATGGTGTCATAGTTCTCACTATATCTCCAATTCACTAGTTTGGTTTTGCAACGACCGACAGCAGCTCGTAAACGGTTGAGACATGACCATGAATTAGGCCATGCCCCGATGGATGCAGGGGGTGGTTTTCTTAGGGCGGAAGGACACTGTTTGTTGTGCTTGGGCAAGATGGTTGTTCCACAGGGACATTCACTGGTTGTCAGGGCTCTTGTTCAGTGTCTCAACAGAAAGCAGAAAGCTGTTCCGAAATATGAGACTCTCAGAGAGACTATCACTCAGCAATCAAAGGTACTAAACCTTCGTGGGTTTCATGCAACCAGTGATACCCGTCAGGAAAGCATTCAACGCACGGTTGATCTTGTTGGCAGGAACTGAACTACTTCTGACGGTCAAGTATACTCTGATGTAGAGAAACACAAAGCCAGGGCTGTAGAGCGGACTGTCTTATCATCAGCACCCTACTTTTGTATTGGTCAGCTTCCCGATGATACTATTCCTTGAACCTACCTTCGCCTGTCTTGTTAGTCTTGGTGATGTGATACTTGTATGTGAGGGACCGGTCAAGCGTGACCCCTAAATAGACTTGCTTGGTGGTGTTGCAATCATTTCCCATAACACCTAATCCGTAGTTGGTGGTTAGCTTCCCTGTTCTTCAAATGACAGACGTTTAGTCCTGGTTAGCTCTGAAATGATTGTTGGCATAGAAAGGGATGAGACTGACCAGGGCAGTGCTAAGGGAAACTCCTGCTTAAAATTATGCTTCTGAGATGCAATACACGAGTCATCAGCATAGATGAAACTTCTGGTGCCTGGGTAAATGGGTTGGTCATTGGTGTAGATATTAAACAATAGAGGGGCAAGGACACTCCCTTGTGGAAGCACATTCTTCTGAGTCCACTATCTACCCTGTCTGCCACATAGGTCTACGAAGAATCTGCGATTCGACAAGATGTCGCAAATCAGCTGAGTTAGTCACTTAAGGTCATCTCATACAGTTTAGTCATCATAAACTTTATAAACTAGTTTTTATCATTACTGTTATTATCATTATCATTGTTGTTATGAGATCACTTTTTTCTTCTCATTATTGTATTCATTATTCCTCAGTTGTGAATCATTAATCGAATTTTCATATTGTCCTCTAAATTGATGGGTGAAATCATATCGACATTGAGTAACTACGTCATGGGGGGGGGGGGGTAGCTAAATATTGACTTCGCTACGTAGACAAATTCAAGGTGAATAAATTGTTTGAAGGGTGCTTAGTCACATAGGAGCGCATAACCTGAAAGAAAAACAAATTGCCGAGAAAATAAAGTAAATATGCATATTAAACGAAACTGTTTTATGACCTATTTGCCATATACAAATGGCAAGTACGTACGAAGTACGAATTGTCCCTCATCGCTCGTGCACGACCTATCCACCGTGACAACGGTGCCACGTAAACAAAGAGGGCATGTCTCCAATTAAACTCTCGATAATTTGGTTGTTGTAACCCTTAACTTAAACGAACGGTTTGAGTTTAGTCGTGTTATGATGATATATGAATGCGTTCATAATTTAAGCACCTTCTTGCCTTCAGGTATTTTAATCAATCCTAATGACGTACATGAGCATCATACAAGACAAATAGACAGAGGATGTTTACTTAACCCAGGAATAACAAAGTTATGTTTGTTTACAGTAATGCTTGCATTTCCATACTTTTATCAAACGTATTCGTTTTCACTGGTTGTCTACCGTAACAACAAACAAGGCGAAAGACATCATGAATGGCTGATCGTCAACGTGACAGAGTGTACGGCAGGCAGCCAGTAAAAACGTATTCGTTGTACTGTTAACAACTGATTCGTATTCTGTAAAAAGATATTAATTCCTGCCGTTTGATGTACATTAAATCTTACGAACGTGTACAAGAGATATATGAATGTAGATTTCTTGGCATGATGTTATGGCTTTTAGCATGACATGGACGCAGCCATTTTCTTGAAAATATGACGTACCAGTTGGAGTACATGTATCCTGCACCAAGCTATGATTGAAAAGACTTTTTAATTCAATTAAAAAAACCTTTAATTTTCAATGAGGATAATTTATAGACGTAAAGGTAAAAATTACCATTTGAGAAGCTTTGGACTTTCAATACATGGAGCATATATTATAAAAATTATAATGATGATAATGATAATGGTAATTAGAAGGAGCAGAATAAGAAGAGGAAACAAGGAACTAAAAATAATATATATATATATATATATATATATATACATAATGTATTTTGTATTTAGTAAATTATTTTTTAAGCGATTAAATATAAGGCCTACCGCTTCTATACCCAAAGGAAATTAACATCATAAGCCTTCATACGGAAGTGGTATAGCTGATTTTAATCCATTTTTGTTTGGGTATACCACTCGTACGAGAACTCATGTAGTACATTGTAATGGGCTTGTAGATTAAAACATATTCACCCTCTGAATATATTAAAAATGAGCATAAAATAAAAGTAGGAACACAATCTAGCTAGAATTTACACTTACGGCATCGTACGTAATTTGGCCAGAACACAACGAAGGCGCTTAATATTATCCACAGTCTCATACCACGACCAAGCTTCCTATCAGTATTTGACGCCATTTTTCAAGCACTAAGAATGACGTGGGTCTTCACAACGGTTTGTATACATGTATTATCCTAAAGCGAAATTGATCCTAGTCTGGTGCACTAGATGGTTCATGAGTGCGTGCACACAACACTAATAGGGACTTTTAGATTCGCACGAAGACAATGGGAATTGCTACAATCGACGTCCTTTTAATGCACTGCCTTGAATAGACGTCACAAGTATCAGTCCGCGGAAATCTAAAAGTCCCTAATATTGGGAGTGTGGAAAAAGAGAGAGAGAGAGATGGAGAGAGAGAGAGAGAGAGAGATGAACAAAATAATTTTAGGGGGGCGTTGTATTTGCTTTGACTGCATAATACTATTCAACCAAAACTGTATACATCAATCACATGAAAGAGAAAACGCAGATACAATGCCAATATAATATTGGTAAAGGCGGGTTACAATAGCAGCCCAATCCTCATTGTAATGCACTTAGCAGCTGCAGTGTGTTATTCACATTTCTGATTGAATCAAATTCTTACGGCATTATTACCCACATGTGAAATGTTCTCGTGTCTAATATTTTGGTAGAGATAAAAGTGAGTTCTGGTTAAAAAAAAGAAAATGAATTCTCACAGAATCAAACGAAACTTACACTGAATGTTCAAGATTACAAATAAATGTCATTTGCCAAACAATTTTGATAGAAAATGTATACTGGCTGAGTAATGAGCATAGTAGCCCCGACACCATTTGTGTAGTCCCATATACATCTTTCTGTGTACACTCTTTGTTACTTTACCGAGACTGTGCCTAATTTATTATGCTTTTGATGACTCCAGAACTTTGAAGTACACACCAGTACTTGTATGCTACATGATCAACTTTTTCTGATCCATTCCACACCTTTTCTTTCACAATGCATTCGGATGACCAGAACTCACTTTTATCTTTAAAGGGCAATCTGAACCTGTGAATGACTTGCTAGTAAAGCAAAGACAAACAGATTGGTGATATCTGATGAACATAACAAGCTAGGAATATTTATGTTAAAATTAACTTTGGGATGAGTTCTCGATCGGGTTGTCATGTGATCACATGTCATGGAGCCGTATGTTGATATAAATACCTAGTCACATCGACGGAATGATATCAATAATGATGATAATATTAATTATGATAATTTTAATTATGATAATAATATTCATACAAATGATTATAATAATATTCATTATAACATAAATAAAAATAATGAAAATATAAATAATAATAATGATATTTATATTAATAATTAAAATAACAATAATAATAAGATGATAACTAGTACATAGTTCGCTCCGAATACAATGTTTACAAAATACGTTATTCATAATATTTAATTTATTTAAAACAAGTACAAATTAAAAGGAATTATATGAAAAGGGGTGCAACTACTTGGGGAAGAGGTATGTTTTTTAGGAGTTTCTTGAATTGTTCTGTGGAATTAACTTATTTGCGTGAAGGATGGGATGTGGCTCCATTCTTTGGATGCAGTTACAGTAAATATGCGATCACCAGCTTGGCTACGAGTCTGTGGAATGGTAAGAAGAAAAGGGTCGCTAGAAGAGTGAAGATTAGGACGGGATAGGTTGTGAAATGTAAGACTATCTTTAATATATACTGGGCATTTGATTATGGAAGTCTTTAAAAACAAACAGTAGGATTTTGACGAGAATTCTTTCTCTTTTTTGGAAACCAATGCAGGTATTTTAGTAGAGGTTTGGGTCATGACGTCGATCGGCTCAATCTTATAATCTATGTTGCCGCGCTTCCCATGTACATTGGCAATAGATGTTGGACAAGAACACTGTTAAATAGACTTACATTTTTTTAAGTATAAAGGTTATCGAACCTATGTAAGAGTAACATTTCCATGAGAACGAAGATTATGACAGAACCAATAACAAGAAATTCCGTTTTATCTTCATTCAACTTCAGCATGTAACGGGTCATCCAGGCGCTTTACATGTCTGCCACAGAAGAGGTTAGGGTCTCCAGTGCACCATCTAGGCTGCAAGCCCTTTCGAATCACATGTTACATAGAGTTGTATATCATCGGCATAAGTATGTTAGACGACTTCATGGCGACGAGCAGTGCATCCAACAGGTAGAGTGTAGATTGTACAACCGACTGGACCAGTTCCATGCGGAAGGCCTGAGGGTTGAGAACAATCTCCCTTTTCTCCACTTTAATTGATCCAGTCTGCGAGATATGATTCAAGTCACCGAGCAAACTATCTGTCCTGAGCTATCTATACACAGAGTTTGATCAACCCGGTTTGAGTTAGACACAATATGGCGACTACTGCTTTGTTGGGCAACCACTAAACAAAAGAATAGGGACTTTTAGATTTGCACGTCAACAGTTTTGACTGCAACGTGTGACGTCATTTTAAGGCACAGCGCATGCGTTACGTCGTCTCAGTCGGCGATCGAGAATGCGTCAACCTCGATTTTCCTAAATCTAGTACAATATACACATACATACATATTGATATTTATATAGCGCCTTTACATGCTCAAGGTACTAGTATGCCGCGTGCGCATAACATATACAGTTCCTCAGGTAGACAAAGGAACATCCCTTCCCTGCTATGTAAAAATGTGTAGAACAGGTGTCACATGCATATTCACCTGTTCTATACATTTTTACATATTAATAGCAGTGAAGGGATGTTCTTTTGTTGAGGGTAGAATGAGGAACTGTATATTTTGTCCTCTTTCTTTGTCCGTGATGTTCATAGTGTTACTTCCTGCATGCATGTATATCGTCGAGTGCAATCTAAAAGATTTCTAATTGTAGTCAACAGTCAAGATAAATACGTTGACACGCATGAACAGTCGGCGTTCGTCGTGTTCTCGTCCACTCAATCTAAAAGTCCCTAATATACGCCATGTTGTGACCCAGTGAAACCAAGTTGCCTAAACTCTGTATATAGATGGCTCTGAATCTGTCCTTATGGCCCCCTCAAAAGGTCAGTTTTCTAGTATACAATGAGACTTCATATTCTGTTTGAGAAGATTAGTGTGGGTTTTGGGGTGCCTTTTGTGTGCTTCTAAGGAACCAGTTCTGTAGGAAAGAAGAACAGATAATCAGGTAAATGGAGTTCAAAGTACTTCACTGAAGTAGATCTACTCAAGTTTAAACTTCAATTATGTTCTGAAAACGTTCGTCATTGATTGGTGAAAGACAATATATAAAGACTGCTACGATATATTGTTACCGCAAGCATATCATATTTATTATCTCCTTACCATAACAAAAACCTCAGACAGAAAACACCTTTAGCCACACTTGATTCCCAGTTGATCAATGGTAAACCCCATTATTTCTAAGTTATTCCTTTGGTAATTGTATTGCTGTGGTGGTAGATATTATCTGTTCTTCCATCACAATCAAATTATATTTGCTGGTTTTGTGGGTACAGAATGATTAAAACTGTCTGGTTCAAGATTCTGTTTTTGATTGAACATCTGTCAAATCCGTTTCTTCAATTTTGTCAAATTGTAATTGTATTCATAATCGTAATGAGATGAAGCTACCTATGTGTTTTTACGTTGAGGCTGTTGACATGCCGCTGGGTACAGAATGATTAAAACTGTCTGGTTAAAGGTTCTGTTTTTGATTGAACATATGTAAAATCCGTTTCTTCAATTTTGTCAAATTGTAATTTTATTCATAATCGTAATAAGATAAAGCTACCTATGTGTTTTTACGTTGAGGCTGTTGAGAGGCCGCTGTCTATAAATATGACGCTACTCTGTCGCAGAAACGTCCAGTGCACCAGGACCAACAAGACGTTCGCCAAAATTCATCGGACATTTGATTCCTACAGAGCCCCATCATGTATTTCAGCATACTTGTCGTTGCGATGCTCATATCGTTTGCATCAGGTAAGAACTAACAGGAATAGAGTATAGACTTAAGTTAAAAGCAGCCAAATGGAGGTTGATCGCTCGCTTGATATTTTGGGAAGAGAGATCAGCTGCCTTGTGTACCCTACAACGGTAAACATATCAATATGACCGCAGCATCCCAGCGGGACCGAGAACGTAGGGTGGATTCGTTCTCTTGATGCAATACCTACCTGGTATCCAGGCTGCCACCGTCAGTTGCTGGCGATTGCCGACCACAACTGCACATCTTCTTGTTGTCTTTCTCCATTTGTTTCTATCCTGTGCTAATCTTTTGGCTTCTGAATATGTGAGACCTGTCCATTCTGTGATGTTATCAAACCACTGCTTTCTCTGTCTGCCTCTTTTTCTTTTTCCTTCTACTTGGCTTTCTAATATTTGTGCTGCTAAGGGACTCCCACTGCCACGCAGAATGTGTCCAAAGTAACCCATCTTGAGGCGGGCCAATTTGTCCAAGGAGATCTCTTTCTGCGTTTAGTTCTTGTAGAACACTGAGGTTATTTCTTTTGTCCTTCCAGCTGATTTTTAGCATTTTCCTCCAGAACCACATTTCTGCTGCCATGATGCGATTTTCATCGGCTTTGAGCAGTGTCCAGCTTTCAGCACCATAAAGCAAAGCACTCCAAACAAGGGTTTTGACCAGTTTTATTTTCATACCGATTAAGATGTTCCTGTCATTAGGTATCACAGCTAAAGTTTGAAAGTATCTACATTTCATTTCCCCTGCCAATTTCATTTTAGAGCACATGGAAAGAGGAGTTTTGATACCTCATTTGTCAAATTTGAATAAGTACTTTTGAAAATACGGCCACTTACATAAGAGACGAAATGGTCAAATTTTGCGTAATTAGGCTATAACTGACAATTAGCCATTTTCAAGGTGACATAATTTTGTAATTAATTGATTAATCACCTTTTTTTTCAAAAAATCTGTTCTCTGTATGATTTCCTACATGCCTATTTTTTTTCAGGTTCTTTAGACAAATATTTGTTTTCGTGGAATTTTTCAAATAATTAAATGAAGCCCAATTTGATGCGTGTGACAAATGGCTATTTTTGCGTCGCCGGAACAAGTTTTCATAGGTTTTGAAACATGGCTAGA